CGAAATCTGTCTTGTAGATTTTGTCCCAGGAGCCTACCATGCACCATATGTTTGGTGGACATGAGAAGAGGCTGAAAACTGACAGATTTACAGCCGTGGCATCAGAGCCATGCACAGGCCGCATCGATCCATGGGGGGACTCCTGCAGCACGGCGAGGCTCCCTCATCTGCCGCGCCTGGAAAGGCTCCATTCCATCCATATACGGCCGAATGTCGAAGCCGATGCCTCAGATGCGCATCTTGCTCAAAATGGCCTATTAAAGTCGTGTATGAGTTTCTTCTGGACAGACTTGCTCGTGCGGGAACGGGAGATCAGGCCGGAGCGTCGTCGTAGTTTGATCGTCCCGTTATAGCTGTGGTCGAACCATGAATGCCAGGATCGCGGGAGGGATTGCCGGGGGGGGGGGGGGGGGGGTAGTGTACGTTTTGGAGTCATAAGTGGCAGTTGCGAATGTGCGCTACCATCTTGGGAATATGACAGGACATTCGCAGGCGCTGCCATCATGTCGCCATGGTCCATGAGCCAGAGTCGTTTGCGTTTCTGTCCATCACCGGTGCTCACTTAGCCCCAAGTTCCACAGCCTTAGGCGTCTGCTCGAGTAGCTCGAGAAACGTCGGTTAGATACGCAGTTGGCCTTGCTGCCACGGTCCTTGGTTACTGATAGACGTTTTGCAGGGCCTGAGAGCAGGTATGACGCTGCTCTACCGTGTGCTACCCCTACTTTTAGAAACTCATGGCCAATCTTTAAATACGTCCATCATTTATGGCTTGTGTGCGGCTCGAGGGGGGGGGGGGGGGGGGGGGGGTTATACCCGTCCCTTCGTACTTGAAAAGAACGCCTCTCCCGTCAAGTCCATGATGTCTCGGTTCTTCATCAATCAGGCCCGTATTCTGTTTTCATCTTACTTGTTGAGTCCTGTATTAGTATCACAGCAATCGCTTCACATCTCGGTGGCTTGTTTTCAGTCATCGAATGCACTCCAGCCTTTTGGTTCTTCACTTTTGTTGTGTCACACCCTCCCCGAGCTTAAGCCTCTTCCAGACCTGCTCGTCGTTCGTCTCCGTCTGTCTCATTGGCCGACCCGAACATCTTGAGTATTCCCGTTCTCTTGAAACTTGGCCAGAGAAACGAAAGAGAACTGGTTCGGCCTTGCCACCCGTCGGCTGCTAGCCGTGGACGAACCCCTATACCGCTTTTTCCCGTCGAAGCGAACACCACATACATCTGGCACGCACCCGTAGAACTCCTCGGGATCCCACGCTGCATATTGCATCACTCGCGCAGAATTCTTCATTGACCGCCGGAACTGCCTCCACAACTTCCCTTCTTCCATCAAAAAACACTTCCCGGAAGACGACATCGTACGTGCGAGTTGAGACAACACGGAACGCCGACAGAGCCCTAGAGGAAGGAGCGGTGAGAAGGGGAAAACCATCAGTCAGAGCCGTCTCTCATAGTCTTGGAAATCTTTCGTCCAAGATGTTTATGAGCGCTCCTCCCCGTTTGGCCGTCCATGGCTCGGACATCTTCGCCTTTAAGCAGCTCATGAAAGCCCAAGTCCCACAGCGCTCCAACGACAGACGCCAGAGAAAACTGATCGCGCGAAACGGCAAGCATCCTTTGAGCTCCAGGTCGATACACCAGCAGAGCGCCATGACGAGCGAGGATTGGTCTTTTGCCGGCGTGCCGGAAGGAATCCAAGACAGTTTCGAGGTGCGTTGGCTCACCCTTCCCCCATCTACACACAACCGGCTCCCCCGTTCGCTCTCAAAGCTTCTTCTGAGATGTGATGAAAACCAGAGCCATTGACTGACCCGTCATGCCTCAGGTCCAGCAACTCCGGAACAGGTACCTGGCCGGCACCGCGGGCAGCCCTTATGCTGACCCTGATCACGGCACCTTTTTTCAAAGGTTGCAACGGCCTGATGGCTTCTCCGGAAACAAACGCCCAGTCATGGATCACAACCAGCCATGGCAGTCGTCTTTTGGAGTCCATGAAATGACCGACATCCAATCCATGTTTGCTCCGATGCAATTCCAATTCGATTCTGCCTGCATAGATGGTCTCCCCATGCAGACGCCGAACAGCATGGACCAGATCATGCCCGCATCCTCTGCAGGCTTTGCCCTCTCGGACGCGGGCACAAGTTTTGGGAGCTTTTCTTCTGCGGGCGCCTCCAACCTCCTCGAACCCTTCGTTTCGGTTGGTTGTGCTGCACTTGTTCCCAGTTCTTCGGATCAGTTCGAGTATGCCAACTCGCCCTTCACGAGGTCTTCCTTCATGCACGAGGATCTCACCAACATCAAAGGGGCTCCCCCGTCGCCGCCGCCATTCTCTGAGCCGACACCCCTCCTCTTTTTCCCAACACCGCAAGACCAGCTCGCTGGGCGCCAGTGTCATATGGCAGATCAGCAAGAAGCAACGAGGGTTCCGGTGCTGGAGAGCAATGGTAGCTGCAACGCCATCAAGTCCGACCCTACGGCCCAGCAAATGCTGGCGCCAAGGCCGCGCAAAGAGCTTCCAGATCATCCGCGGTCATCGCGAGCCCACTCAAGCAACGCCTCTTGCCGCCATGGCTCTCCATCTCGGAAGCACTTGGCTGCCACACACAAGGCGGAACTCCGGCCGAAGCAGTCGAAACCTTGCCCGACAGAACCCTCCCCGGTAGATCTCGCGGAGCGTTCTGCCAAGGATGAATACTTGCTCAAGGCCAAGCAAGACGGGCTGACGTACCGGGAGATCCGGGTCAAGGGTAACTTCACCGAAGCCGAGTCGACTCTGCGCGGTCGATACCGCACACTTACCAAAAGCAAAGAGGCCAGAGTCCGGAAACCCGAGTGGACCGATAAGGACGTGAGTGGCCCCCCTCCTTGTGACATCGGTTACCTAACCAAGCTGACCGGTGTGACCTGCAGATTCACCTGCTTCAAAGGGCTGTCCGCAAGTTCACCAAGGGCAACAACGATCCCTCCTCAACCAAGATCCCATGGAAGCAGGTGGCGGAGTACATCCAACGAAACGGCGGCTCGTACTTGTTCGGAAACGCTACGTGTCGCAAGAAATGGGACGAACTCGCCCTGGCCGCATAGGGATGCCAGGCGGAAAGGTTCCGATGTGATGCGTTGGTGTGGGTAAGGTTGGATAATGCATTGCGATGTGAGATCGGATTTGTGACTGAAGAATTGTAATGACAGCAGAGCGGTTTACTTTTGATAACAAAAGCGATGCAGGGAACGTGGACCAAACAGCGACTTTTGGATTTCGATGTCGAATGGAATGGCTGCTTCCCCTCGCTTGCTTGTACTTAATCAGCTAGAGAGCACTGTCGTCGTGCAGATGTTTGCCTGCGAGTTTGTTTCTTCTTTTTACGGCTGGAAGGCATGTTTGCCCCCTCCTTTTCTCCCCGCCTCACAATTTCCTACTGTGTCCCCCATCAACAGCAAGGCCGATTTTCGATAAGATTTCCAACAATTGGACGCCGTCGTTCTTTGCTTTCAGTACGTTCCATTCGGCTTCGTTCTTCACCAGAGCGGTTCCGGCCAGGACCGTCCCGTTGAGGCAGAGTTCGCCCACCGGCGTGCCATCCTGGTTGATCTTCGCCCCTTCAGCCAATCGAGGCAAGACAACCAAACGGTCGCTGGTCATGGCCAGATTGTAGCTGATGGGAGCATCGCCATCGCCATCGCGGGGATCGTTTACAGTGCCGATCTGGGCCGTTACCGCTTCGACTGCCAAGTTGAAAAGTGACAGATAAATGGAGTGCATCTCTTCGGGCGTCATGTCGCGATGGATCTTGTCTGCGAAGGTGGAGAATGGTACCCCGGAGGCGTCCGACGAGCCCAGGCGTTTTGCCAGCACATCCCACCGCGAGTCCTCGGGCAGCCCGTCCCTCATCCGCGCGACAGGCAAAAGCTGGATGTGACGGTGTGGCTGGCTTGCTCCCGAGTGCGGGCCGCTATTGAAGAATGCGTATAGCTCGCCGTCTCTTCCCTCATGGCCATGTCCGTATTGTCTGTAGGCCTCGATGCAAGCGTAGGTAGCTGCCAAGTCACGGGGCTCGAGGAGGTGGGTCTGTTGCTTGAATTCCTTGGTGGCCAATATGAAGTGTTCGGGCACAACTGCGAACTTGTTCAGAACCAGGTTGTGACCCGAATCGGGAAGGTCGACGATGAACAGGGGGCCCTTTTCTGGGCTCTCGAACGGATCGAAGGGCTTCCGAGGCTCGTCAGACTTGGACCTCGACGCGGTCGGCTTGTTTGCCAAAGCGGGGGAGAAGCGGAGCTGGAACTGCATAGAGGGTGTCAATTAAGCTGCATGCGAGTCATAGGTAGCGGCGATGCAGGCTCACCGGGATCGAGTTGGCATGAAGCACGGTGACCTGGGTCGCGTAGTATGTCAGGTCGCCGTTTGAGCGAGCCTTGTTGAAAGCGGCCCTGACAAGCTCTGGCAGGTTGACCGGGGCCTTGATCGGCGACATTCTCGGCCCTGTATGTGGATGGTTGACTGATTTATGGCCGTGGTGTTGCGATGTTGAAGGGAGAGGGGGAGAGGCCGCCGGAGGATGAGGTCATATCTTGTGAATAGGCTCGGGGCAGGAGCTACGGGCACGAGAGCGGTGCCCCACCTCGGACCGACCCCCCGCCCCCACCCCCACTGAGCGCGCTCAAAGGCCTTGTTCGTTGTTGAAAGTCTCGACACCGAAACAGGTGACACAAAGAAGGTGGCTTTGTTTATGGGCACTAGTCCTCCTATCATGGTAGTTATTATTGTCCGTTGTTTCTTGTCACTCCGATTCGTCCGAGTTTTCATATCCTCCCTTTCAGGGGTTGTCATCGTACGCTACTCGTTGAATCAAAGAAGCCAAACGATTGATTACAAAGGATACAAGAATTCATGGAACAGTGTTTCGCAACGTAGTGGAAATGGGTATTGATTCTATTGTACAGGCAGCACGCCTTGAAATTCTCTTCTCTCGTGTAGTTCTCGTGTGGCCTAACCTAGATACCGGGCAAGCCAACGGCTTGTCGTAACGCAGGAACGAACCGGGGAAGAACGTATACGCCGTAGAGCGCAATCATGGCCGTAACGAGACCGGTGACCTGCCACATGCGTTAGTAGGGGTTACTCGACGTCGTCATTCGGGTATGCGTAGTTTCGTACCTTCTCGAACCAAGTGTGGAAGTAGATGGCCGTCATGAGCAGCATCCAAGAGCTCAAGCCAATGATGACGGTAGCGAACTTGCCGCCCCAGCCCAGAGCATCGCCGGGTACGGGCTCCCCCCTCAGGCCCTGAGCCCCGACGGTGGCCGTCTTTACGGCGCCGTCCGTCATGACGACGCTGCGCTCTTCCCTCCCCGAACCTCTCCAGCGCATGACCACCCAGCCGACCTCGGACAACAGGAAGCCAGTGCCGAGGACCAAGAGGAACACGTGCCCGGAGATATCGTGTCCGCCACTCCAGCGCCCGCCAGAGGCCTTGCACGCAACAGCAGTGAAGAACTCCTTGGCGTCTCCCTCGCCCATCTTGATCTTGTCCTCGACAAGCTCGCACTTGCCTCCAGTCCAGCGGAAGCTCCGATCTATAATGGCCGGGCCGAAGAACCACTGAGTGACGAAGAACCACCAGGTCGTGACGAGCACCCAGCGGAGGGTCGCCTGGAGCCGGACAGTCGCGTTCTTGGTGCCAGGGTGGGTGAGGAGAAAGGCGAAGAAGGCGGCCGTGATCCAGAACCAGCCACGCTTGACGAAGATGATGTTGAACAGGTTCGATTTGCGTGCAAAGTACGAGGGCGCCGTGGCGGTGGAATGCGCCTGCGTGGAAGCATCGTAGTGCGAGGCGCGGACGTCGGGGGAGAGGAGGGAAAATACGGTTCCGAAGAAGAGGATTACAGGGAACAATGAAAGGACTATCGTCTCGGCGGGCGTGGGCAGGTAAGGGCTGTTGCGCGTCGTCTTGAGGGGGGGAGAGGGCGGCGAGGTAGCGGCGCCGTTGAGGTCGTCGAGGGCGCGTCTGGTCTTGGACCGCAGGTTGACGGCGGGCGGTGAGTCCATTGTAGAGAGGTGCTTGGGAGCGTTTTCGATGTGCGTTATCGCATAGAGGGCAAGGAGGATGCCAAGGTTGAGTAGGATGGATGACAATGAACGGGCGCCGGATCTTGGAAGAAATGGACGGTAGAGTATGACGTTGGTGGTGGTGCAAAGGACAGGCACCTAGAGGGTACGTACCTCGTAGTGGAGCGCGGTGGCTAAAAATCGGACAGTCGGTCACTGGGAGACGCCGACCAGCGAATCACGGCGCTGGAATCTCGGTCAATGTCACCAACCGAGGCTCACCGGGTGCTAGGGAATGAGAGAGAGGACACATTGCGACAGAACATCTAGGTCGAGGAGAGAAGAGGCGACGCCACACTACCTACCCGCAAAGATTTGGTGTTCATATGATGAGTGTATGCTGAAGGAGCTTGAAAGGTTCGTCCCTGAGTACCGAGCATAGCATCATTGGGATGTTAACCCTCTTCCTTGAGCACCAAGCCTTAGGAGTACGGATAGTCAAGATGGACCGTTTAACGCAAGACATCACAGCATGAGGTAATTCGCCGTTCTCAAGTCACCGCCGAGGAGCAGAAGTGGTCAACATCAAGTGATTCGTGTATAAGTGGTATCAAAGTGCCTCCAAGGCAAAAGTGTGAAGAATGTCAATGCCGCCCGTTCCCTCGTCTTGTATCTCCGCGAAGCCACGGTGTATAATAAACCCCCCTGGGGCCTGTTTTCCACAAACCTCAAAACTCCCGGTATGCAAAAGTATGTATCCTGCAGCAAGAAAAAGAAAAAAACAAAAACAAAAAAATACCCATAGTGGGTGGGAAAGAAAAGGGGCAGACGCAGCAGCCTCTACCACTACGGCAGATTGGCTACGCCTGTACGAAAGTAACACGTGTCTGCGCGCTGAGCAGCTGGTGAGCATACTCATACGCGTCGTCGTATGCGGTCCTCGTCCGCCACAGGCCGAAATCCACCGGCATGGTCATCGACGCCGGCAAGATCCCGTAGCTGGGCCTCTCCTGCTAGGTCGTCGGCTCGTGCATCGGGGCCGGGGGTCCGACGGCGTACGCGGGCCTCTCCTAGAGGGGCGCCTGGAAGAAGGCGACGGTGGCGCAGAAGTTGTTGCGGTTGTCGCTGTCGAGCGCCGCGCTCTTGCCGTTGACCGTCACCATGTTGATGGACGCCTTGGTGCTGAGGCCGAAGAACTTGATGTCGCTGTTCTCAAGCGAGACCATGTGGTCCTGGCAGTTGTTCTCCCCGACGCACACCTGGTCGTAGTTGTCGAAGAAGGAGTAGAGCCCGGCGCCGTAGATGAGGATGTCCTTGGAGTCGATGGCGCGGACGCCCCAGGTGCGCGCGCACTTGTCGCCCTGGCCGGCGCAGAAGGTCTCAAAGTTGGGGTCGAGGATGGCCTCGTTGACCGTGAAGGGCGTCCTGGCGTCCGGGTTGCCCTGGTAGTACGCCGTCTCGGTCTGGATGTGCGCCATGTAGACGTTGGACGCCTTGTTGAACTGGTAGTTGTACAGGACGCTGTGCTCCGAGGCGGTGCCCCAGAACCAGGTGCCCTTGGTCGCCTCGCAGAGGACGCCGCGGCCGTTGTAGACGTTGATCTGCGCCTTGCGGTCCGGGAGGTCGAGCTCGTGGTCAGCAACCCACCACCACGTGTTCTCAAAGTAGCCTGACGACTCGGGGGTCATGTGGATGAGCAGGTAAGCACCCATGCACTCGGGGTTGGCGGTGGTCGTGACATTGGGGTTCTTTGCGCACTTATCCGACTGCAGCTGCGTTCCGGCGCTGCCTCCGATACGCCAGTGGACGTCCCAGAGACCGGCGGCACCGGGGGTGGATCCCGCAATGTTGTACTCCATGAGGATGGCGCCCGGCTGAGGGCCCTGGGTCTGGAGGATGATGTCGCTCATCTCAAAGGTGCCGACGTCGCCCGGCTTGCCGACGCGAAGCATGACCTTGGGGTTGGCCTGGTCCTTGAAAGCGGCACCGTTGGCCATCAGGAGAGGCCAGACCTCGCCGGTGATCTTGATGTCCTTGGGCACCTCGATGGTATCCGAGATGATGTAGGCGCCGTGATCAAAGTAGACAATGTCGTTGGGACCCGCTTTGTTAAACAGTGCCTGGATGGCCGCCGTGTCGTCGCTCTTACCGTCGCCCTTGCAGCCGTTGGCCTTGGCACTGAGGAACGAGCTGGCCGGAACGTTCTCGTACTGAGGCTTGCTGCGGGTGACGACCTTGCCATCGGCACCGAGGAGAACGGGGGGCTTGACGATGCCTTCCTGAGCGTTCTGGATGGCCTTGCCGTTGCCGGCGGCGCCGCTGTAGGCCTTGCCCTGGATGAAGGACGCTACCTTCTGGTTGCCTGGCAGGACGGTCGTCTTGGTGTCGACGATCTGGACGGCGGCCGGGACGTTGGATGACATGTCAACGTTGTCGAGCACCAAGCTGCCGTTGGTGGCGGTCGAAGCCGGGTTGTAAGCAGTCAAGACACCGACGGGGGTGTTGCTGATGACGCTGTCGAGGAGGAGAACGGAGCCGACGGTCTGCGAGGTGGCGCCACCGTTGGACATGTCGATACCGACGCCGCAGTTGTTGATCTTGAGATCCTGCAAGGTCCAGAGCCAGTTCCAGTTCATGTAGACAGCAGTCTTGCAGTTGTTGAAAGCTGTTTTACGTTAGTCTTGCCAATTACAGTTGAGAGCCAAGGACCAGACGACGACTTACTCATGTTACGCGTGGTGAACTGCTGCGATCCCACAAAGGCGCCGTACTTGCCACCGTTAAACGTCAAGTCGGTCATGAAGCCACCGGAGCCGTTGTCGATGAAGATTCCCTGCTGGACGTTGGCATCGCCGCCGTCGGTACGCATGTTGAAGACAATGTTCTGCAGGCTGGTGGCCTGGGCAACCTGCCAGTGGATACCAGCACCAGAGGTGAACGGCATACCAGTCAGGTCGATGTTGAAGTTGCGGACAAGCTTCCAGAAGTCTGGGCAGGGTTAGCAAACGCTCCTCAGCACGCCTTTCTCTGGGGGGATCAACTTACTGTTCTGGTTGGTGTGCGCGTTGTTACCCTGGTTGTCGTACGGGTCGGCATCAATCACAGCCATGCCGGTGAAGCTCGCAGCGGCCTTGATCGTGGGGAGGGCAGTGGCATCTCCAACCATGTGGGTGTAGTACTTCATGACGATGGGCTTGCTGACGACGTAGGTGCCGGCAGGGAAGTAGACAAGAGCAGGCGTGGTGGTCTGGGAGTCACAGCCGAAGCCGCAGCGGTTGCCATCGTCCATCGCTGTGTTCAAGTTAGCCGGCCAAGTTCCAATGCATCAAAAGCCAAGAAAGTCAGGGTCTTACCGGCCTGGATAGCCACGGTATCGTCGCTGGATCCATCGCCCTTGGCACCGTAATCCTTCACGTTGCGGTAGATCTTGTAGTTGGCGTCGCCAAAGGCAGACACGCCGCGGCGCTCGATCGACGCGACCCAAAAGCCGGAGGCGGCATTGGGGGTAGCGGCCTGGGGAATGGGTGCCGGCACGGGTGCAGGAGCTGCAAGAGCGTCCAGAGAGAAGAGGCGCAGGGCCAGGAGTGTGGTCGTAAGGACCGAAGAGAGACCCATCATGACGTAGAACCAGCTGTTCCAGGGGTTCCTATTGTGTTGTTTTGTCGGTATAAACTGCCCGAGGTCACGATATTAGCCCGAGGTGATTTGAAAAGGCGACGCGAGGCGGAAGGAGAGCTGCGAATCAACCCAAAACTCAGCCTTTAAATGATGAAGAAACTCGAGACTGCCCGAGGGAGATATGGAGAAAGACGAAGCAACTGCTTATTCGTATGTGTGGGAAAAGAGTCGGGAGCGGGATAGGGCAGGGTGCTGGTCGCGTCTTGACATCCGAACCATGATCCAGAAGCCACACCTTAAGTATGGCCAGCTCGTGAGTGTCAGTGACTAGCTGACACTCGACTCTCACCGGGCCGCTCCACAAACAACCCTTTGGTGCCTGTGACTAAAAGGGTCGTTGTTCGTCACAAGTCTGGATCATGTCCCATTGTCTACCGCTTTCAGACAAGACAAACACATCTTCCCCATCGGCTCCCTTCAGTCCAGATTCCAAGAGAGGGAGGGGGGGGGGGGGGGGGGGGGGGCCTCAGATGACATGTCCTACGTCACGGTACTGGCCAAGAAGACACCATGCCACGAGCCTCCAAGAGCCATCGATATGAAGAGCCGAGACAACAGACCGGCCGGGAGGGTGGGGAAAGGGAAGAAACATAGGCACGGGACCGGAATCCGGGGGGGTCGGCGCACAACACTCACCAAGGGTTGGGTTGAAACTGACGGCAGCGGGTGACGACCGATCAAGGCGTTGGCTGGTTGATTGGGGTAAAAGAATGACTTTGTGACGAATCCAAACAAACGAGAGGGCGAGATATCCCCTCCAGGGAAGATACAACAAAACGAAAGAGCGTCGAGGGGTGTGAGGTTGAGGCAACGAGAGAAGGGAGGGGAGTGAACTACAAGCTTGGAAGAGGTTGACGGTCACCGTCTTATATCGACTTACCCGAAGTGCAGTCCCCTGCTCCGCCGAACGATTCATCGCCAAGGTGGCAAGCAGCAGTCGGACTTTTCCCCCGGTCTGAGGCAAGGCAAAGGGCCTGGGATCCCGGTTCGCACGTAGGGAGATCCCTCTCGTCGAGCGACTGGATCTCGGCCTTCTGGTCCAGAGGCGAGAGCCAGAAGGGTTGACAGAAGTGGGGGGATATTGGGTGTCCGTGGCCCGTCCAAGCTCGATAAAGCCAAACTTAGCCAGCACCAACTAGGTATGGGTAATCCAGGGATCGAGGACGGAAATGCGATGAAACAAGGATCCAGGTAGGGTCGCTATTGGTCGGGAGAGGATATAGCTTCAAACACAGCTACCTACACTAGAGGAGGAGTGGGAAGAGAGGGGGGGGGCGTGGTATAGGTTGCAGTGTACGGATATACCTACGCAATAAGGTAATGCTGCCAGCAAGTAGAAGTCATGGCAGAGGGGCAAGGCGAAGCAGAAGTGAAAGGGGGAAAAGCAGACAAGCCAAGCGAGCGCACGCAAGTAGTTCGGACGACGAGGCCCTGTCCGGAGCTCAGGGGGTCAGTCAATGCGATGCAACCGCCGCCCCTAGTCTGGATTTGAGCAGCACCATTCAACCTTGCAACCTGCTAAGCCTACTGGTCTGCTTCTGGAAAATACCCGCCGTAGATGGCCTTCTAGTAGTGAGAGGTTAATTAGATCGAGTACTCGGTACCGGTCGGTGAGCCACAAGGGCAGACAACTCAAGGTTGCATCCCCCCCCCAACGGACTGTCAGGATTCTTGCGAAATCTCCGCGCCTGCAGGCAATGATCCCGGGCATGATCTGTCAGTGCAGGTCCTTACATACCAGTAGTAAATAGCAGCAAGGCAAGACGTCGCCTTACTTACGTTGATGAGTCGACGGGGTCACGGATGGAGGAGCAGAGGGAGAAGAGGGAAAACGAGCAGCGTCTCTGGCCTCCGTTCGCCTGGACATCAAACGTAGGTACTCCACAGCGGCGGCAAAACGTAAAGTGGGACGAGATCAACACACCGGTGCCCTCCCTAGAGAGAAAACTCGAGAGGCGCTTCTGCGAGCCTCGCTGTGGCTGGACGTGGCACATGAGCCGGATCGGTAAGTCACTCTGACTCAAGGAGCCGACCATCGAGGCCAATCAGAGGCCAAAGCCAAAGATGAAGAGGCAAAACCTCAGAAGGACGAGACAAGAAACGGATGTACAAGCTTGTATGGATATAGAGTATGCTGCACAAAGTATTGTGTTCCTATGGTTGAGTATGCTGCTGTATGGGGTCTTGTTTTCCGGTCTCGTGCATAAGGGGGAGGGAACACCCGCCACACACAACACTTTGTTTCTTCTCCCTACGTACTACCGAGTACGGATACCTAGTATTATCCATAGGTATTTGAATTTTGTCTTTGAGCCCCCCCTTTCCCCACCAAAGCCGCCCCCATACGGAAGAGCAGCGGTAGGGATTCTTCTCTCCCTCCCTGTCTCTCTCTCTCTCTTCCTCTCTGCTCTGTGTCTCTCTCCTGGGGGAGGGAACAAGACCGTTCTGGACAACCGACAAGGGGATATGCCGGGGTCCACTAGGATCGGGCATAGCGCCGTTTCAAGCTCGTCTGCCCGCCACCACCAGCAACGCCGACGGCGACTGTGACGGTGACGGAGACGCTCGCAGCACCCGCAAAAGACATGTCGTCGAATCGTCGCAGGAGGGGCCTGGATCATTGCGACCCGAGCCCGCAGCGGCACTCGGCTCGTGGGAGTGCGTCGAGCGCCGTTGGTTGGCTGAGCGTCCTTCTGGCGGAAGATGACGAGGGGGAGGAGAGCAGAGGGCCCAGTCCCCTTAATATCCCCTTTGATGTCACTCTCCTGTTGTAAGCTGATCCCCAGACACCTGGGAAGCGATGCACGCCTGTCAACCGTAGCCACAGACGAAGCGCGAGCATACACGCCAGTCAAATGTCATGTCCGTCTCCTCCGTCTACTTGGCCTTGTATGTCGTTACCGAAAGTGTGTGCAGCAGCCGTAAGTTTAGACCCGTGATGTTGCGTGCGTCGCAATCTCCGCCATGGAGGCTCGTGATGACAGTCACTCGCATTGCCTGTGTGGGCATCATCGTTGCTGGTGACGATGCTGCCATGCCCAAACTTCATCGATGAGGCTACCTACTGCACTACCACCCCAATACCCAAGACTTGGCCATTCTCCAGAGCCAAGCGCAGTCACAAGGACGCGGCGTCGAGAAGGTTCCTTGGTGGCTGTTGCTGCTGCTGCTGCTGTTCTTGCCCGAATCTCTTCATGTTGGCACTCTGCAAAGTTCGTTTCGGACATGGCAATGCGTGCTTAACCGCCCCCTCCCCAAGACCTCAGTCACGACGAGAGTCATGTCCGCCGTCAGGTTGCCGGGACAGGCCAGTGATAGCGAGTACCTACAGAATGCATGCACGCATGTCACGAACGAGGCCATCGACGGACGACCAGACGTACATCCCGCTGCCTACCTGCACCTTGTGCAAAGGATCGCCGAGGCACAGTCGTGTGTCCAGTGGGCTGGGACGGAACTGCGTGCCTCCTGCGTGTCAAGGTGGTGCCCATGTCATGTCATGTCATCCCACACCGTGCCATCCGTACCTGAGAGGTTCCATCGTCATTGCGACCCCGAAGCCTCGGCAACCCACTGCTTCTTTTCTTACATGCGAAGCTCAGCACGCAAAGCGTGACATGACATGCGCACCACGTTACCTCTCGTCCGGTGCGGCGGTATGGATCCCTCGCACCCAAGGAGGCCGAAGGGGAGCAGGAGGAGGAGGAGGGGGAAGAAGAAGAAGAAGAAGAAGAAGAAGAAGAAGAGAGTTGAGTGCGATGCCGATGCGTTCTCGAAGCTTGGTTCGGCCCAGCTCCCGGCCTGCCTACTGCACAAGTTTCTTTTTGCGCGGTGCCGTATCCGGACCGTGGACCGCGTATGCGTATTCGCAACGCCCTACCGCATCGTGCGTTGTCGACGTTGGACACCCGATCTTGGCCGTTTCGAAACGTCCCATCACCCCCTGTTCCATCTTGAAGACCCTTTCCCAGTCGAACGAAGCCTTGATCTCGCCCCACCTTGGGCACTCGCCGCATCTCATGTCCACCCGCACTCTATCTGCGCATCCGTGATCCTATTCCTGGACATACCATCCATGTAAGCAAGACTGCTGCCAAGTTCCTTTTGTATCTCGTCAAGTGACCCTGGCCTCCCTTTCCGGCAGGGCAGCGGGGACTTCGCGATGATGACGGCACAGGCTTAGTAACACAGCCGCGGCCTTCGAGTCAGGACGACGCCAACAATAACATGGCCGGGGCATCCGAGTCAAGACGAGACAGGTACCTACACCTCGTCCCTTGGCTGCAGGGCCACCAGTGCCGTGCCGTCTGCTGCCCGCCGCGCCACCGCTCCCCCCCGAGTTCCCATCTGATAGGAATCGGAGCATGGGCAGAAGGCCGGTAGAGCCCGTTTCCCCCCCCCTTTTTGGAAAAAGAAAAAAGCGCCAAAAACAAACTCCAAACACCTTAAAGAGACCTCAACTACCCCAAGGTAGGCGCACCTAGGTAGTCAGACGGCACCCTTGTGGGGCCAGTAGGTCGTTGGCAATACCGTAAATAAATGCAACATGTCCGTATCCCGCACACCCATGGCCGCGAGAGAAGACCCGGGGCAATACGCTGGGACATGTTCTAGGAACATACATGCATGACCTTCTTCCCCAGCCATTCCTCCTCGAGTCCGCAGTCAGGTGGCGTACCCGTGAAGCCTTGCCCACGTGGCCTGCACACAGCACTCACTCTGCAGGTGAGAAAGTGAGTAAGAAGAGGTGAGAGAGAGAGAGAGAGAGAGCTCATAGCCGCGGTGCCATGCTACCTCCCCTTGTGGAGAGTGTGTCATCTCTCTGGCTTGCTCGCGAATCGAATCGTGGGGTAGTGAGACAGTGGCCCCGCGCGAACCACACGCAGCCTTTATGGCACCCATTTCCCGCTCCAAACCCATCATCATTGGAAAACATGAATGTCTCGTTTCTTCACCCCCTTCCCACCACTTCCCAACACGTCGCCGTGGTTTCTCACGCATTCACCTCGGTCCCTCCCTCCTTTCACGTACACGTGTGCGTCCTCGTAGATCCTCTCGCGACCATGGGGCGGGTGATGGCCGCCGATCATCACCATCCAGCGTGCCAGCTGATCCGGCTCTGATCTAACGGGTAGTGTCACCGCCGCGCTGGTGCCACGCAGACCGGTGTTCGAGACCTTTGGTCTCCCTGGGGCTTGCTTAGCCCGGCTTCTCTGCGGCTTCATTTATTCTGGCTCCCCCCCCCCGGGGGACAAAAACCTGGAGGCGCGGGGGAGGCTTAGGCTGAAAGCGTGCTTGGGGGAAGGCCAGGGACATGGTATGACGGGGGAAAGGTCTCGCGGAGGGGAATCGGTGAGCTAGCTACGGTGCCATGAGGCCGAGGCACTCCCGTCGTTTGACTCGACGACGTCCAGCGAAGCCAGAGCGCTTAAAGCCATCGCACAAGGGGGTGTCAAAAATGTCATGAGACGAACACACACGTTCATGACGCACCTTGCTTTATGTGTGCCCGTACAGACCCGGCCAAACAACGTTGCGTCCGGGACTGTCACGGCGCCCAAGCTCTGAGCCCGGTGCAATATATCTGCGACCCCCCTTTTCCCCCAAACCCTGGACCCGCGGCGGGGAGCATGATCCAAGAACCAACAGGATACTCCATGAACGCTGCAAATGCACGCCGAACTGGACTGGCCTCTACTTAGACGTTGCGTCGAGATGCCAGCTGAAATCCCTCCGCTCGTGGTTCAGTCCTACCAAGTGGGTTGACCTACCTACCGCACTATAGGTGACACGAGAGAGATTTTGAGATGAACACGCTTTAGTTCGACGAGCAAGCAAGGTTCTCAAGCGGGAACTCGTGTCCTCCATCTTGGTTAAACTCTCCGTAGTGTAGTTGAACCGACAGCACCTGGCCGAGGCACTGCCACATAGCACCAGCCCGGCCCAGCACCATTCCGCCTGATGGACGCGATCATCTCGTCAGAGCCATCTCGGCGCCCGCCCTCGGACGTTCCAAGAGTCCTCATACCCCCCTCCTTCGGCCGTTGCACGGAAAATCTCAAGGCACGGCCCGCGCTCTACTCGCCCACAATGCCATCGGGCCGCTCGCCCTTCCCACCTCGCCGTCTCAGGACAGAGTTGGGCTGATGGTGACCGCGCCCTCCGGTCCGCCGCCGCCGGGCACCATGGCTCGACGAGATCATGATACGGGATGGACCTCAGTGGTCCCCCGTCCCCAGCCCTGTCCGACGTCGAACGAGACGCGGACGCCTCGCAATGATGCCGCCAACGGGAAGCTTAAGCAACCATCCCCCCTTCCCCCGCCGCTGCAGGGTCGTCTCTTGTATCTTGGCACTCGACTTGTTTCCACGCCGGACGCCCCCCCCCTCTGGCATCGTCGACATCCCCCGCTACCGCCCGCAGAGTTCTCCCGCAGAGCACGTCTGAGTACCTACCTACCACCTTTGCCCGCGTACCCGACAACGAAAACGTCGACGTCCGGACGAAAAAGAAGGCGACCAGACGAACAGAAAGACGAAAAAGCGCAGTAACTTGCAGAGACCCCCCGTCCAGCAATTCCATATTCATCGCATGTCCCCCAAGCACAGACCCTTCTCCGTCCGTTCAAGTTCCCCCCTCCTCACTGTCAAACAGTCAACCCAACCCCCGAAACTCCAGACGCAAAGAGACGAGAGGCATGGACGCATATGCACACTCTGACATACATGTACACACATGGAGAGCAAAACAAAAGGTCCTGCTGCGCAGCTCTCGAAACAGGCCGCCCTGCGGTCCTGAAGGAACACGCAAAAAAAGATGGAGAGACGCCGACCATCAGACCACCCGGCGGCGTCTGCGACTCTTTTCTTTTTTGCTTCTGAGTCGAAAGAGAACGGGACGTCCCCGGACTTTGCCCTACTCTCCTGTCCGAGTTCGAAAAGAAAAGAAGAATGGAAAACGAGAACCCTCCCGTTCTGAAACCCCGTAGACGTCGGACCATGCATGGCATTTGTCTGGCCCGCTCGCCGGCCCGGCCGCCGCTTTGATGTGCGAGGGCATCCCCGCGTCCGCACGTCTACCTCCCCCCCCTCCCTTCTCTCTCCCCAACAGAAACTCCGTGTTCTGTGCCCACTCGCCACTCTCGCCTTTGTAGCATGAACATGAATGGCGCCGTTGTCTCACGTGGAATGCCCGTTGTCGACATTCGCTGGATGGATTGGATAGCAAAAAACGTTGGCGAAATAGAATCTATAATGCCTCTCTATCCAGTGGCTGTCTATGCGAGCAAAGCTAGGGATGCCATGCAAAAAAAAAATAGACAAGAAAGAAAAAAGAAGAAAAAGAAGAAAAAGAAGAATGACGCCTGGGCTCAAGAACGAATGAACCCCCAAAAGTGAAGAAATAGAAACCCAAACCCAGAAAGAAACATGCGGCCCCCAATGCAAGTGGATGAAATGCCTATCCTTCTCCAATACGCCTGCCTCTCTGTGGAAGGGGGTCTCTTGTCTTCAAATAGTCCCCCCCCCCCCCCCCCCCCGCCTTCGTGCTTTTGTGTCAAGTCTACCCGCCTATTATCCATCATCCACATCTCGGCTCGTGATGAACAAAAGTCGTCAATGAGGGCGGTCCAGCCATGCCGCTCTCGGTATTAGCGTATTATGTAGCGTGTATAGGATGATGCGATGCGATGCGATGCAATGCGATGCGATGCGTCTTCCGTGAAAATCTAGATGTATCCGCCATCTATCGCGCAACCCCCGCCGCTCTCCAGGGCCTCGATGCCCGGGACGTCGGCGCCAAAGTCCATGATCAAGATCTTGGGGTCCTGACCCGTGCTGACGATTCGCCGGTAATCGCTCTTCGCGCTCAGTACCCAACTAGCGTGCCACCGCGGGAAGTCGAGCAACTGGCGGCCCGTCTCCATGTCGAAGACCTTGATGTCCGTATCGTAACTGCCGCTGACAAGACGGCCGCTGACCGAGTCGATGTGCAGGCTGCGCACGAGGTTATCGTGAGCCTTCATCTCGCGGAGACACTCGCCCGTGTTGGCATCCCAGATGCGGATGACCTTGTCGTTGCCGGCCGAGGCGACATAGCGGCCGTCCTCCGAGAACTGGGAGCACGCGAGGCCCTTGGTGTGGCCTTGAAACTCCCGGATGTTCTTGCCCGTGTCAATGTTCCAGAGCTTGACGCGAAAGTCGCCGGAGCATGATACTATCGTGTTCCCACGCATCTGGACGGCATTGACAGGGCCCGAGTGCCCACGCAGCTGGCGGAGCAGAGTGCCCGTCGCGCGGTCCCAGACGCAGATGGTGATGTCCTTGCTGCAGGTGATGATGTGCTTGTCGTCAAAGGCAAGGTCGAGCACGGCAGCGGTGTGGTGCTGAAGACGGCGGACCGGTCTGTAGCCCGAGCGGACGTTGTACACGATGCAGCTGGAATCGGACGAGCCCGTTACCAGCATGCGGTCGTCGTACTGCAGGCAAAGAATCGAAGCTTTGTGGTGCGTGGGGAAGGACACCATTGCGGGCATCGACGGGTTAGCACGCTGATTATCGGGCAGGGTGGCATAGTGAACGGGGTTCCCTTCGTCGTCGAGCAGCAGGGAAACGTCGTTGACGACCTCGGGAGGACCGATGACCAGACGGCACTCAAAGGTCCGCATATCCCAGACTCGGATCGTCTTGTCGCGGGAACCGGTGATGATCTTGGTCCTAGCCCGGATGTTAGCCATTTGGTCGTGTGGTTTCCAAGGGAGTGGATGCGCTTACTCGTCAAACTGCAGACAGTAGATACTGTCCAAGTGGCCGTTCAGATAGACAGGCTTCGCCTTGCCTTCCTTCCATCGCTGGTCGAGCTCGTCCTTGGCCTTGTATATCTGCTTCCAGTCGACGTCGGGGCTGATGGACGGCACGCCTTGGCCGGTGCCTGGCTGAACTGGTAGACTGGTTGCATATGTGCCCGTCTTCTCGCGCAAGAAGGACTCTCGCCAGACGTGCTGGTTCTCAATCATCTTCTGCCACTCGCGAGACACACGGCTCGCGGCAGCAAGAGCCGTGGCATCGAGATGGGCGAGGACCTGGATGGCAAGCTCGACAGGGAGCTGGGCGATGAAATCGACACGACTGATGTTTGCGTCCCCCACGTCCGAGTCACCACCGGTGACCGTGATGCCGATGCCGCTCTCGTGGTCGGTGAAGTCATCCGGCGACGCATACAGCCACTTGTTGTGAACGGCCTGGTTCTGCGCCGCCGCCGCCGCCGCCGCCGCCTTGGCAGCACCGCCGGTGTGGTAGGGAATGACGGGCGGCTCACTGCCGTTGCCAGGGAGCGGCAAGCAGGAGAAGGGGTGTTCAGCAACGAAGGCATCGCTGTGTGTTGTGTCGTGGCCATGAGATGACTTGGAATGGCGGAAGCTCGTGGCCTGACGGAGCCGGTGCCAAGGCGAGTGGGCATGGGAAGTTCCAGGGCGCTGGTGGTGATGATGATGGCGATGGACCTCCTCGAGGCCCAGGCCAAGGCCATGGGCGCCGCCGAGAGAGTGGCTTTTGTGATGGACCATACCCTTCAGGGAGATGGAGGCGCGACGAAATATGCCCTTGATGCTAGCGTTACCGTGTCCTGCCGGGTGCGTGTCGTGTGTGTGACTGAAGGGGTTATCGTCGCCAGGGCCGTCATGACTCCGGGATCGCTCGAGAGAGAGCTCTTCCAAGTGGCTCGGGAGGTCGGAGTCGAGATGATGGATGGATGACTTGCGCCGCCATGGAAGCGAGAGACTCAGGCTGCGGAGGCGGTGTGCCTGGAAGGAGGACCTGGTGTTGACGTGTCCGTCGGGGCCGTCCTGTTCTTGGATGGCAGATGTGGAGGCGGGCTCGTCGTAGATGGCCTCCTGGGTGGGTGCCCACTCGGAGACGTTGCAGATGCGTCCAGACATGGCGAGTGTTGATGCCGTCGACGGCTAGGTAGGGCGTCCAAGTCGTAGTCGAGATCGAGGTCGCTGCAGAGAAGTCGTGGTCGAAGTCGTCCGGGAGTGGACGTGGGCTTAGGAGTCGGGCACGACTGTGGCGCGCTTTCGAGGAAGAGAAAGGGGAGTTCGGGACGGGGTCGTGAGGCAGCAAGACAGCACGAGCAAGCTGGCGATCATTGCATGGTCAGCGATGAGGTTCGGAAAGGCTCGATTGTTCAGATAAGTAAAAAAGAAAGAGGAAAAGCAAAGAAAAGAAAGTCGGGTCAAGTGGGATGGAATCAAGGGGGGTTCGTTGGTTATTACCTGTCGTCCGAGCTTATCCCTGTTGTTGTTCTTCTGCCAGACTGTTGTTCCCCCTTCCTAGACCCTGAGTCTCGTCTGGAGTGCCCGAAACGCGCAGGAGTCAAGACGGACGGCACTGTCTCGGCGGTCTCCCCACCAAAAGGGCTGGGCTAAGCTAGGCCACCGCAGGTGGATAACGGGGGTTACACTAGATGGCAGGATAGCAGCCAGTCGGAGGGCGCAGGCTGGGGGGGGGGGGGGGGGGGGGGAGGGACGAGAAAGGGACCTGGTACGCTAGGGAGGGACGTTGTGCAGGAAGAATCAAATCGGGCTGCAGTATCGCTGTAGGCTTGTTGATCCTTGGTCGCAGGCAACGGCAGTGGCGGAAGGGGCAGCGGCAATGGGAATCAATCACGGAAGTCGGCCGGCCGTCTTTTGCCTCTGAGGTTCCTGAGGAAGCTAGAGAGGGAGAGGGAGAGAGAGAGAGAGAAGGTGAGAGAGAAAGAAGGTGAGAGAGAGAAAGAAGGTGAGAGAGAGAAAGAAGGTGAGAGAGAGAAAGAAGGTGAGAGAGAGAAAGAAGGTAAGAGAGATAGGGAGTAAGAGAAATGGATGATGGATGTTTGGGTGGTGGGTGACTGGTGGTTGGGGTGTGCTGGAGATTGGTCAGTTCTGGCCTATGGGGGGCATCAAGGGTCGATGGGAGTTCGTCCACACCCCCGGTCTGGCTCGCTTTTCCAACCTTTTTTTTTTTTTCAGGGTCCGTTCTTCCTTGCAGAGTTCATTCGAAAGGAGAAAGAGACAGCTCGGCTTGTTTGGGGCTCTTCCGAATTGGGGCTGGGTTCGGATGTAAGAAAAAGGGCGGTGGACACTCGACTATGCAAAGCCGCCTGGCTAGGAGAGATATCCTTACGGCAGAGGAAGCTGAAAGTGGATAATGATAGTGACGATGATAATAATAATAATAATAACAATAATGGGGTGAGAGGACCGGAAGAGGACTGGAGTTCGGCGGGAAGATGTACGACGAGGCGCAGAGGCGTTAATTACCACGCGAGTCAACAAAGAAGATTTAAGAACAAAGCAAAGGGGAACAAATAGTTTGAGAACCGGTCGACAGGGGTGTGTATGTGAGCGCAGATCGCCGGCTGGCCCCCTTATGGTTGCTGGTGTCGGTGTTGATGACAATACAGACACCTATGGACGGGCAACAGGTTCGAGTAATGTTGATGTAAAGTTTGCGAAGACCCTGTTTAGAAAAGCAAGGAAAGGACTTGTTTTGGCCTGTTTCTGACGGAAAAGCGTTGATGGCCGCAGAGAGAGGGAGAGAGAGAGAGAGAGAGTAAGAGTAAGAGACCGGGAGGGAAATAGGTACTGGCGGGGGAGTGGAGGGGCGGCAAGCCACCGGCTACCTAGTCCAAAGTGATGGGCCGTTGTAGAGAACAATGTTGGGAGAGACGGACGAGCCAAGACAGAGACAGAGACGGAGACAGAGACAGAGACACAGACACGGATACAGACAGCGACAGGGTAAAAGAAAGAAGACGGAAAAGAAAAAGAAGAAGAAAAAAGAGAGAGACCGAGAGACGGGCCGTGGTCTGTTCTCTTCCCTTGGTTGCCGGTGTCGAGTCGAACCTGTGAAGGTGCGTCGCGCTTGGTATAGACCCGGCGGGGATCGGCCACTTGGGAATCGTCGTCTCTCAGAACTGTGAATGTCTGTCTGTTTAACAGCGCATGACAGTAAGTTGAGATGCATGCTCGTGAGAAGAAGGACGTCCTTTCTGTTGCTCTCCGGGCCGGGTAGCGTATCCGTGGTGTATCTGCAGACAGAATACCATAGTAAGCCTGGTGGTTGCTATCGAGATGTGACCCCCCCCCCCCCGCGTCGCATTGTTTACATCCTGGGCCAGTCGAGGCACACATGGCAGAAGAAAAAACCAAATAAAAAAAAAGTCTAAACACGGACGGATCACGATGTAATGTGCCGGCCTAATGTCGATATGCTAATGCTAAAGAGACATATCTGTATCCGTACACTATCCAAGTTAGCATCGTGCTTGTACCTGCCTGCACAGCATTGCTACGGTGCAAATACCCTGCACTCAGCGACTGTGTGTCGATGTCCAAGTCGAGCTACTTCCATGCCCACCGTTTTTGCCGCAGAAAGAAAGTATACAGTACTTGCGGCCGCCAAAGCCTGCACTGCATGCGCATCGTCCCGGTGCTGTATCCGTAGGAACGGACTCACTAAGTATCCAAAAGGTACTTACCTACCTACAATGTAGGTAGGTAGTAGCTGGGAGTGGTCGAGTACATAAGAAACTCACCTCTGCCTACGACTGTAGCATCGTGTAACCCTCCATCTGGACCTCCCAATTTGGGCCTGGAACAGTCAGTCTCGTGATCTGCCAGAGAGATGGATTCGCCTCTTTGCCCCTTCTCTCCATCATCTCGCCCCATCAACAAACACCACTGCCGTGTGGAGACGTGCAGTATGTGCTGTGCACTGCATCTACGGAGTAAACCCCTGGACATGCACGCAGTACATACACGGTACATTACGGAGTACGGAACATGCACATGCACATGCTCCTTACCCCCCCCCCTGTTCCGCCATCGGGTCCCCATCCATCACCCCGGGCTGCTGCGCTGCAACCTTGTGGGTGCCTCCGGTGCTTCCAAACTCTATCTATCCGTACGGAGTACACTAGGTACCTACGTGCCTACTACCCCCGGGGATGCTGTCACTCATCGCCCTGGCGTTAGAATCTACCCAGCTTATGCCTATGGCTGGCTGGAAAATGGAAGAAACAAAGACAAGAGACTCGACTCTGACCCGTCTCACCGTGATTGCAAACCCCTGCCCAGACTTTTGCCATGGTCAAGACGCGCCTCGCCCATTCCGACACGCCCGTCACATTGGCATCACTGACATCCGAGATGACCTGCCACACCACACCACACCACACACCCCTTAGCAGACTCGGCCATCTCATCCCACCCCAGACTAGTCTCCCCCGGCTGCTTGTGTACCTCACCGTCTTCGTTGGCCAGCAAGCCAGCCACCAAACGTGGGGCTTTCGAAGAAGCTTGAACAGGCTAAGAAACGCTCACGCCACCAGTTGGAGCACAACAAAATGACTACATTCACAACACGTGGCGGATAATAACAACCTGCGAGGAGGGGGGGGGGGGGGGGGGGGGGGGGCGCAGACAAAGGCACTCTCATCATCACCTAGTGTACACTCCTCGGTAGGGAGTTGCTAGCTATCTTGCCCCTACCTGTATGTACCGGGCAGCGAGCGTTCCGGGGAAACTCGATTCGCCGTGGCTACATCGGCCAAGCTTTGGTTGACAACATTACATGACGGCACTGGAAACATGTGTATGGGTATGGATTGCACGCACACCCCCGACTAAACGTCGTGGTCATCGAATGGCCTCGCATCATGTTTGTAGAGCTTCTGCCGGCGACGACTTTCACCTCGGCTTGCCAAGGCACCAGCTGACAGCACCTCCAACCAAGGCCCTTCACCTATGCAACCATATCTTGATGAAGTGAAGTCTGCTCGGGCAGTTTCTCTGCGGTATCCGGTACGTACTCCGTACTTTGTACCGTATCAAGAGGTTGAGATGAGATGTGGCACAGGCCAGTGGTGCTGCATATTGGGTTATATGGTGAACTGGGCTAGAGCTTATATGAGTCTAGATCAATTCTACCTAATCAGTACCTCTTCGCGCCAGAGCTGCTGCTGCTGTAGAGAGACAAGGAACTTTTGAGAATGCATCAACTCCTAACGACACAGTCACTCCCAAGTGTCACAGGCTGGCTGGCACCTGAGGGGCTCTAGTGGTGGCTGCACTGCCGCAGTGCCCGTCATGTCTACGCGTGTCATCACCGTGGCATATACGCAAAATGATACAGGGCATCGAGTGGTCTTCTTTTTTAGCCTCGCTATACACGTTACATCCTCCACAATCACCATTACTGGCCAAAGGCCTCCTCGTAGTTGGTCAAGCAGTACCTGTAGCGGACCTTGGAGTCTTCAATGCCGTTCATGGCCGACCGCAGGCCGTCGGCGTTGATGGGGACCTCCTGCACCCATGTCTTGATTCCCTTGTCGGCGGCGAGCTGCAGCATCTCGAGCGTCTCGCGTCTGCTGCCCAGGTGGGAGCTGCCGATGAAGCAGCCGTTGGGGAGGAAGTCCTGGTTGCGGACCGTGATGCCGCCGCCGCCGGGGAGCCCGACCGAAACCCACTTGCCGTGCACGTCGAGCAGGCTGAGGTACGCCGACAGGTCGAAGCCCTCGAACGAGTTGGCCGTGTTGAGGATGAGGTCGAACGTCATCGCGTGCTCCTTGTTCCAGTCCTTCTCGCCGCTGGCCAAGTAGCCGTCGGCGCCCATCTTGAGCGAGTCCTCCTCCTTGGACCGCGACCGCGAAATGGCCCAGACCTCAGCCCCAAGGGCCTTGGCGAACATGATACCAAAATGACCGATGCCGCCGATGCCAACGATGCCTACCTTCTTGCCGGGTCCGCAACCGTTTCTGACCAGGGGACTGTAGGCAGTGAGGCCAGCGCACAACATGGGCGCGGCAATAGTGCTAGGCAGCGCGTCGGGGATGGGGAAGACCCTGTCATCCGTCAGTCTTTGTTACCGATTGCAAGGCATGCATGGTTTAGCATCTTATTACCAGTGCTCGTGCGTGCGGACATGGGACGAGTAGCCGCCCTGCGAGATGGCGCCCGAGTCGGGGAATGTTGAGCCGTAGGTATCGAGCTGGTGCTTGCAGTACGTCTCGTTGTCGTTTTTGCACTGACGGCACTCGAGGCATGCGTAGGACTGGGCACCGACGCCGACGCGGGCGCCTTCCTTGATCTTGGTGACCTTGGGGCCGACTCTCAGAGCCTTGCCGACGATCTCTGGCACGCGCTTGTTAGCCCGAGACACCCTCGTAGTAGCCAAGGTCGCGGGGAGGCATGCTTACCGTGACCCACAGCCAAAGGGTACGGCTGAGCGCCCCAGTCACCCTTGATGGTGTGAACGTCACTGGCGCAAACGCCGCAGCACTCAATCTTGATATCGACGTCGTAGTCGCCAAAGGGCTTAGGGTCGAACTCCTGCTTCTTGAAGTCTTGCCACGTCTCGGCGCTGTTGACCTGGAAGCCGGTGAACTTTTCGGGGATGGACATGTTGTCTAGCCGTGATCGGACGTGGATAAAAAAAAAAAAAAGGTACTTGGAGGATCGGTCAACTCTTTTCTTAGAGAAGGACAGATGTGAAGTCGTGAAAGGACAGCACGGGTGGGAAGAGGGAGGAGGGAAGGATCGAAGGATCGAAGGTATGTCGAGACGGCCAGAGGGGACGGCAGCGTATAAAATACTCTGGCAATCCCAGGGCTGTCATCGAACCCCCCACATTCTCGTTTGTTCCGGCGTTGCGCATGGGGGAGGGGGGGGGGGAGGGCGTTCATCCTTGAGGGTGAGGGGCACAACACTCGAGGAGGGGCTAACGTCGCGCCGCAATACCATCCCATGCGTATGCGTGAAGGATGGGAGTGGCCGAGACCCTTGCCCAAGGCTAGGCGTGTGTTGGAGGACCAAGTGAGAAGGAGGCAGGTGTCCTGCTTATTCTTGCGACGACGTGATGATGGCTTCTCTCGCATCCAGCTGCCCGGTCAAACGAGATGCTGTATGGCCGCAGTAAAAATGTTCAAATGGCGAATTCGTTGTCTGAACTGTTGCTTTCTCTGCCGCAACACTGCTGGATCCGCATCTTTGTCCATCATATCCTCTCATCCACCAACCCGTGCACCTCTCTTCCATACACATAGGTCTGGGAATCGTGCCGCGCTGCCCCGCGGTGACACCCCACCATTGCCTGCCAATTGCGCCGCAGAACCCACCCGATTCGAGGTGGCTACCCCAGGGGGTTTGGGTGGAAGGATTTTGTCCGGGGGATTTTCCGAGGCAGGGTGCCGAACTTCCCACCAACCAGAACCCGAGGTTCTCGTTTCGGTACTCGACAGTCCACGATCGCAGATAACATCGGACTGGGCCTGGGCCAAAAAGAAGAAGGTTGACGAGGAGGGGTTAACCTCGCTAAATTGGTATCGCTATTTCGCTGCATCTCGGCAAACGTCCCCGAAGACCTGTGTGTCAAGCAATTGGCCCTAGCCACCATTCAGGGCCGATGCATACGTACTTCCAAACATTCTGCTCATATACAGCCTATCGAGGGAAGTGTGACGCCAGTCAGAGGGGCCAGCCAGACCAGCATGTCGGTATCTAGTCTGGCTTGTTTGGACCCTCGACCGTGCGGCTTGTCTCGTCGTCCCGTTATTAGTCGCAGGTGGCACAAATTCGAGACTTCATCCTGGTTGAGTCTTCGTTCCTCGGTAGCAACGTTTTCAGGAATTCACTCTCGAGGCTTGGTGCAACGTTCGGGCGCACAACCCCGTTACATAGAGTCGTATCCGCCATGGCTGCTCTATCGCTGCTTCTGAACCTGTGTTCGGCCGCGGGTCAACCCGACACCTGCGAGGAACGCGATCCGCATCGAGGCACCAAGATAGACGAAGGGGACATTTCCCCAGTCGATGGCATTCCACTTGGCAAAGTTGTAGTAGACCTCTGGGCCGAGGCTTCGCACGGTATAGAGGTGACCGATATCAGCCACGAGGAGGACGAAGAGGACCGTCTTCCACACGCGTAGGTCCGACGTCGAGCGAAGAACGAGAGCTTCGTTGAGGGCGAAGAGGAGGTAGAGGTTCGCGAGCTGAGACAGGACGATGGATGTCCCCTGAGGGATGACGTCTGGCTTCGAAGCGGCGTGAGTGAGTTGCAGGTAGTCGTCGGGCCTGGCATAAGCATAGTAGGCTCCTACGAGGGCAGAGATGGGCTCGATGCCGAGGAAGAAGACGCGATACAGCCTGGGGATGGTAAGGCCCATCCTCATGCGCTGAGGGGTGTTGGGAGCCATGATTCACAGGCAGTCAAGAGTGAGGAGGCAGTGAAACAGAGAGCTGCTACAAGATGGCACAGAGCGATGGAGGACAAAAGATAGCAGGAGAAGCTGGAGGGGGGACGTCAAGACTGTTTGTTCGTCTCATTCTGGCGCGATGGGAACCCTGATGGACCTATTCGTCATGGTCAAGAGGGTGGAAAAACAGTAGCTCCGGGAGGTCAGGCGGACCTGAAGCAACGATGATGGTCCGTGCTACAGCCCATTATAGCTCCGTAGCTTGGTAGCTCAGCGAAAATTGCGGCTGTGCGGTGACATCCCAAGAAACGCCGAGACGACCGGAGGATAAAACCAGTCTACGGATACACTACGGATACTTCAATTCCATCTCATTTACTCCAATGAGTCTACTCACTTTTTTCGAGACTCACCAATGACGAGATTACTTCGGTGCGTCGTGCGTGCTTTATCTGATTGATGGCCGCTATGAGCACGATTACCTACCTGGACGCCAGCAATGGCTCGTCGGCTGACGATCAGATGCCGACCTACGAGGAGGCGATCGCGGAGAGGTGAGTCTTGGCCTGCACGCACCACACCACACATCACAATTCACACACACACACACACACACACACACGAACGGCTGACCATTTTTTGTCATCGCCGTCGTCCAGACCCAATCCGCATACGGCCAGGGCACCGTCCGTCTCGGGGTCGATACGCTCGCTCCACCTTCACGATGGCACCCTGCCCCCCTCCATCCTCCGCCTCAGGAACCTGGGCCGCACACTCTGCCACAACGGCCCCGTGACGGCCATCGCCATCAGCCCCAAGGGATATGTCGCCACCTCCCAGGACAACGCCGGCACAGCGTTGCCTTCGAGCACCAAGCTCTGGGACTTCGCCCCCCGACCCCCAGCGGCGCCGGCGGCGCGGCAAGTGTCCTCCGATATCGGCACCGATGCACCCGTCGTCGTCTTCAGCCCGGACGGGAAGCTTGTGGCCGTGGTGGAGAAGGACGCCGGCGCCAAGCGCGAGTGGCGCGTCAAGCTACGCGCTGGCGAGGAGGGCAAAGGCGTGCGGTGCATCCTCAACGGCGTGGCGGGGCCAGCGGTGTTCAGCGGGGACGGCAAGATGTTCGCGGCGGCGGACCCGTCGGGGATTGTGGTCGTCTTCGAGGCGGCAGCGAGCCCGCCGGGGATGCCGCCGACCAAGAGGGTGGCCGGGGTGATGAACCACGCGCCGCCGACGCATGTGCTTTTCATGCCCAACGGGACAGACCTCGTGACGCTCTCGCGGGACGGGACGGTGCGCATCTCGGAGGCTAGGACGGGCCGGACGCTGCGGCGGATGGAAGTGGACGGCATGGCGTGTATTGACGCGGGGGCGCGGGCGCTGGGGGTGTCGCCGGACGGGCGGATCGTCGTGTCGGTGTGGCCGCGGGCCGTGTACGCGTGGGAGCATGAGGCCGGGCGTGTGTCGAGCTGGGAGCTGAACAAGGTCCGGGGCACCGAAGGGTGGCCGCTGGCGGTGTCGCCAGACTGCCGGTTCCTGGCGTGCCGAACCGAGGACGGCATGGACATCTCGGACGTCTACTCGGGCCACGTGCTCGCCGAGGTGCGGACGGCGGCGGGCATCGACGGGCTTGTCACGGCGGCGGCCTTCTCGGCGAATGGCAACCTCATGGCCGTCGGGCGGTACACGGGCGTCGTCGACGTGTGGAATCTCGCACCGTTTGGGGACTGAGGGGTGGGCGTTGTGCAGATGATGGATGAGGGGAAGAATGTCACGAAACCAAAAAGTTAGAAAAAGAAAAGAATAAGAAAGAGAAAAAAGGTTCATACTCGCGCACTGCCATCCACAACACCTACCTAGCGACGGGTCGTCCAATTTTGGAAAATGTCATCCGAGTCCACCGCTGTTTCGGACGAAAAAACAAAAAAAAAGCGACCATTTCCACTCAGCGTCAGGCTTCATTTTGAGTTGCCGGGCTCCCAGACCCCGGCACTCAGGCACGTGTAGAGACTAGGCCGGCATGCTGGCCACTTCACTAGAATACAACTCTCCGGGCACCCATGACTCGAGAAAAGTCGCCGGTCAAGGCTACGCCCTGGAACTCGACGAGTTAAGCAACGTAAGTACAGTTCCGCCTTGGACTAGCCCGGGTTTGAATGCCATCCGAGCGTAAACAAAGGTCGGATGGCCAACGGTGAGTCTGAGGCGAGTCAAAGCCATTGAGGCTTGCCCGAGCCAGTGGAAGTCGGTGAGAGGCCAGATGATAAGTAAGAATCAGAATCCGGGGTAAGGACCGATGGCTTCTTGAAGTAGCAGCATGTGATGGACTGCAGAGCAGGGCTTGTCAATTACATCTCACACTGCCTAATGCCGCGATACATACGGATCAAGTCATCCGGTATATTTGTTATATGTTCCAGGGCTTCTAAGAGGGATTGCGATTGATGGGAGGACAAGCTGATCCAAAGTACACTCGCCGTTTTCTTATCATTAGCCCATATCAAATTCATAGGAGTTGACTTTTGATTTGAAACCATCAACCTTCTATACCGGACAACCGATAGGTAATTTGATACTCGGATTACCTACACGGCGCAGACCGGCTCCCTTGACCACCCGGTACCGACCTACCTACATAGGTCTACCTATGTACACTAGGTACTTCCCTGTGAGGATCCCTTGACCATGCCCCTCATCCCAAAAGGGAATAGTGCGGGGTTGTGGCTTTCGCGTCAGTCAAAGGCGGTGGAATCACACCAACCGGCGGCGCATTATTGCTGAACCTTTTCTTCGTACTCTCTGTGACTCTTCTCCCCTTGTACAACGGCGGTACATTTTCTTTTCTCCTGCACACGACCTCGATCACGACCGATCCCGATTCTGACCACACGAATCATTGCAATATGGCGCCGAATCCCATCCTACCCGTCAAGGGCAAGAACAACGTCCTCATCACCTCGGCGCTGCCCTACGTGAACAACGTGCCCCATCTCGGAAACATCATCGGGAGTGTGCTGTCCGCCGACGTCTTTGCCCGCTACTCCCGCGCCCGCGGTAACCCCACCGTCTATGGTAAGATCCTCCCGCCCTCCGCTGCTTGCATATCATGCTTGACCCGGCTGACACCCACCCTCTCTGCACAGTCTGCGGCTCCGACGAATACGGTACTGCGACCGAGACCAAGGCCCTCGAGGAGGGCGTCACGCCATCCGAGCTGTGCGCAAAGTACCATGCGCTGCACAAGGGTATCTATGACTACTTCGACATCTCCTTCGATATTTTTGGCCGGACTCCGACCCCCCAGCAGACCGAGATCGTCCAGGACATCTTCACCAAGCTCTGGAAGAATGGCTTCATCGAGGAGCGCGAAACCACCCAGCCCTTCTGCCCCGTCGAGGCTCATCAGTCCTTCCTCGCCGACCGCTTCGTTGAGGGTGTCTGTTCCATTTGCGCCTACGACGGTGCCAGAGGCGACCAGTGTGACAAGTGCGGCAACCTCCTTGACCCCCTCGAGCCCGAGCCCGAGGCCAACGCGACCGCCGAGGACGACATTGCCGCGAAGCCCACCGGATTCCTCATCAAGCCCCGCTGCAAGCTCGACGGAGCTACCCCCGAGAAGCGCAAGACGAAACACCTTTTCCTCAGACTCGACTCCTTGAGGGACGAGCTCGTCAAGTGGTTCAAGGAGTCTAGCAAGAAGGGCGCGTGGAGCAACAATGCCGAGCAGATCACCCAGGCTTGGATCGACAAGGGCCTGAAGCCCCGTGGCATCACCAGAGATCTGAAGTGGGGTGTTCCAATCCCGACCCACGAGGTCGGCCAGGACTACGCGAAGAAGGTCTTCTACGTCTGGTTCGACGCCTGCATCGGCTACGTGTCCATCACCAAGAACTACACCGACGGTGACGACCTTGCCGGCAAGAAGTGGGAGCAGTGGTGGAAGAACCCCGACGACGTCAAGTTGTACCAATTCATGGGCAAGGATAACGTCCAGTTCCACACCATCATCTTCCCCGGCTCTCTCATCGGTACCGGCGAGAACTGGACGAAGCTGCACAAGATCTCCACCACCGAGTACCTCAACTACGAGGGCGGCAAGTTCAGCAAGTCCAGGGGTGTCGGCGTCTTTGGCAACCAAGTCCAGCAGACCGGTGTGCCCGTCGACGTTTGGAGGTACTATCTGCTCTCTCGCCGCCCCGAGACGTCCGACTCCGAGTTCATGTGGCAAGAGATGGTTGACGGCAACAACAACGAGCTTCTGAAGAATCTCGGCAACTTCTGCCAGAGAGTCAACAAGTTCTGCCAGGCCAAGACCGACGGCGTCGTTCCCGACTACACAAAGTACACCGACGACTACCTCAAGAAGCACATCGGCGAGGTAAACACCCTGCTCAAGGAGTACATCAGCAACATGGAGGCAACCAAGATGAGGGCTGGCCTCCAGACCATCATGTCCATCTCAGCGTATGTCCATTCTCCTGTCCCAAATTTCCTAGAATTGAAAGCTGATCCGAGTCCTACAGCCTCGGCAACAAGTTGCTTCAGGACAACAAGCTGGACAACCGCTTGCTTACCGAGGAGCCCGACCGGTGCGCTGCCGTCGTCGGTCTCGCCCTCAACCAGATCGACCTTCTCGCCTCTTTGGTTGCCCCTTACCTCCCCAACACCTCCACTGCCATCCTGAAGCAGCTCGGCGTCGAGCCCAAGCCCTTCATCCCCGATACCTGGGTGACCGATGCCATCAAGCCTGGCCATAAGCTCGGAACCCCTGAGCACCTCTTCACGCAGATCCCGGCGTCCAAGGTCGAGGAGTGGAAGGATGCCTTTGGCGGCGAGGAGGTGCGGAAGCAGAAGGAGGAGGCCGCCGCCAAGGCTGCGGCGAAGAAGGCGGCAAAGGAGGCCGAAAAGGCTCGTAAGAAGGCCAAGAAGGAGGCCGAAAAGGCCAAGGCGGCCGAAGCTGCGCCCTCCGTCGAGTCGAGCGAGAAGAAGGCCGAGGCCGACCCGGCCATCGAGGCGGTGACGGAGGCCATCTCCAAGACGGAGGTCCACACCTCGTAAACTGGACGAATAGGAAAAAGGATAGTTCATTTTTTGAAAGGCGTTGAAGACGGGACACTGTTGTAGTAGCGGATGACGGGTTGATTTTCGAGGCAAATGCCTGGGGCTCTAAAAGTGAACAGTCAATGTCAATGCATGTTCAAGACGGACGTATGGACATGATGATTCCCAGTCATTGCTATCTCCACAGCGCACGCTGGTAGTACCTAAAGCTTCTCCTCAAGAGTTTGACGTGAAAATTTGAAGCGGGAGTGGGGCGGGAATTGCTATGCCACTCTTCTGTTCTAAATTCCTTCACAATGAGGCATACGGCGGTAGTGACTGATGGCATATAAACCCCTGCCGCCGTCATGATGGCCGCCCTGGGTCTGTCTCCCTCCCCGGTGTTGCCAGCCTATGTATCGTTCCCCAATTATAAGAGGCCACCTCATCAATGCCGGCGTGAATACCTAGACGCATCTAAAGGCGCTGTTCTGCAGGCTTTACGGGTCACCATTGAGGGGGCCAGGCTTTATTGTCGGGGGAACCAAGCCGTCAACTCTTACCAAGCTTTGTAAGACGACGCGAAGCTTCAGCAGAGGGATGCTTGGGTCTCTTTACTACAATCCTGGCCGGCCTACCGCCAAGGTATAGTCTCACGAAGCAGCCACTCGTCGAGGCCGCCTGGCGAGCATTAATCCGGGATAATGGCCCCAGAAGTCTCGCGCACTCGGGGCTTGGCCCGTGTTTCAACGCGTGGCTCATCGGCGAGGTTGTCTAGAGAGTAAAGGAGGCAGCTCAAGGGGGTACAAAATGCGACTGTCTCGAGAGCGAGTACGAAGTGTTCGATGGCGTTGCCGAGAGAGACGACACGGGACTCTTCCCAAAGGTGAGTGACCTGAGGAAGGCGATTCGGCGAGGTCGAGAGGATGGGGGTCGAAGAGATGGAAGTTGGGTTTTCAGAAGAACAGAGACACATGTTTGAAGAATGGAAAGCCAAAGCTGGACCCAGGTCGCTTTGCCGGCAGTTTGCAGCTACTGGAAAAGATCACATAGTTCTGGTGGTCGATCTTTCAAGGGTGGGAGATGATGTTTGGATACTACAAGAATGCTACGCTCCAGCTTTGATCCGGAAAGAAGGGCCTGATGAGGATTGGGTACTTATCAGCGATGCCTACATCCACGGTGTCATGTTTGGGGAGCCTATTACGGACGATGTGGTTGGGGAGGATGTTCGTATTTCGTAGCTAACAACACTGTCTTTTTCTACATTCATCATCAAGACTTCTTCAAACGCCCTTCTTGAACTCGATGGGCTCCCCCCTCAGGGGGATACACGACGATGCGATCAATATCTGCGCCCTTGAAGTCGAAGCCGTTCCACAGACCGCCAATGGTGATGGTGTTGTTGGCGCTCTCGTCCAGGGTCAGCTGCAGCGGTGTGGAGAGAATGATGCCCTTGTGGGTGTCGCGCTGGAAGAGCGTCTCGACGTGTTCCTCGTTGTCGTTAACGATGACTGAGGCGATGCGGCGCAGCTGCCACTTGCCGCCGATGCGGTCCGGGGTGCCCCCGGGCTGGTCACCGAAGCCCATGTCGTCCGTGTTCTGGTAGTAGAAGGAAACCCATTGGGGCTCGCCCGCGCCCTGTATGCCGTAGAAGGTGACGGTGCTATCGTTGCCGTAGATACCGGTGACGATGAAGCCGCCGCTGGCAAAGTTGGCCTCCTGCCTAGAGGCGCCACCGGCGACGGTGGCAACGGCGGGTTCGTGGGCGTAGTAGGTGGTGCCCTTGATCGGGGTGACGACGCCGGTCCCGATGTCGAGATCGTAAACGTCATGCCACTCGACGTGTAGCGATTTCTTCTCATCGTCAACGGCGATGGGCAGCCAGATGTAGCGGCTCTCCCAGAGGGAGTTGGAGTCCCATTGGTCGCCGAGGTAGAGGTAGGTCGTCGTTTCGGATCCGTCGATCTTGAGGGAGAAGCCGGACTGGGAGCTGTAGGTGCGGCTGTAGGGGTCGGCGACCATGAAGGGCTGGGACCAAGGACCGGCGAGGGAGTCGGCGCGGAAGGCGACGACGTTGTTGGGGCGGTAGCCCGTTTTGTGGGACATGAGGGCGTAGTAGCTCTTGTCGGTCTGAATGATGGTCGGGGCCTCGAGGTCGTACTTGTCGAAGCGGTGGACGACCTCGGTGACGTTGGTAAGATCGTCGTTGAAGGACGTGACGTAGACGTCGCGCCCCTCGACGCGGTCGCCGTTGGAATAGAGCGCGTAAGAGCGGCCGTCTTTGTAGTCGGTGAAGATTCCAAAGTCCTGGGACCAGTTGCCGAGTGGCGCGATAGCGTCGACAAAGGTATAGGGGCCTGAAATGTTGGGCGACGTGGCGAGGCCCTGGAGGAGGAGGCCGTACGTCGAGTTGTCGGCGTGCCACCACATCTGCGGGGAGTCAGTCAGCGAGCGTCCCGAGTCTGAATGGTCAAGGGGTTGCGTCAGGGGGCTCAACATACGTGGTACTCGCCGGTCGGCTCACTAAAGACGACCTTGGGACGCTGGATTATCATGTCGTTCGAGATGTACGGGTGGCCTTGGACAGGCTCGAGAGCCTTGCCGCGGTACTCCCAGGTCGCCAGGTCGTCAGAGCTGTAGACGGAGACGCCGCCGCCTTCCTCCTGGCCCTCGACCTTGTACTCGCCAAACCAGAAGAATTTACCCGTGTCCTTGTCAAGGGTGATGCCGCCGGCGTGGGCGTTCACGAGGTTGCCCTCGGTGTCATGCCACCTGCCTCCGGGGACGATCCACCTGGAGGCGGCCAAGGATGCGAACAGGAGGCCTGACGAGAAGAGCTTTGCGAACGGCATGATGGGAGTTGAGGCTTATTGAGAGGGCGAGCCAGGGATCCCATCCCCCTCCTTCCACCGATACGAAATCCGTGATGCGACACTGACCTTTTTATCCCACTTCGTGACTTAATGAAGGGCTCCTGGCCGATGTAGGCCGGCTGGCGTTGTCCCGAGGGGTGAACCTACCTTAAGCCGAGCCATTGAGAGTCGTTGGACATTACGCAAAGCCAAGACCCTCCCAGGTTGTGGCCGGGCTTGGGAAGCTCAACGAAATCCCCAGGGCGCGGACTCTATGAGTGCGAGGAGGGCAAACTTGGGTGGGGTGGGCTGGGCGAAATAAGCTGCCAAGGCCGGCCCTGGGCAAAGAAACCATTTAAGCCAAATAAACAACTCAACCTGGAGAAATCCTTGCCGGTGACATATGGCGGTGCGGGGGAAGCTCCGGGGACAACCGTAGACAACCCCAGTCTAGCTCAATCAAGCTCGAGGGGATGAGCTAGGGCCATCCATGACTTGATGCAGGTGAACTTGTGAAGTTTGACGTCGGGAGGAGTGTGCGGGGTTTTCGCGTGAACAGCGTCGCATTCTTAACCCGCAGTCTGGAGGTTGTCCCGCTTCGGGGTCAGATGTCCGTTTGGAGTTGATGTCAACTTGGTGTGATGGGAAACGTAGAGAGAGGGAGGGCTTGATGAATGGTACCTAGCTACTCCGTACAATGTAAGTAAGCTGGTTCCATTTGACCGTCAACTGCTAGGCCATCTTGCTTGAACCTCAGGCCTTTGGCTTAACTTGAATGCTGGGTTAACCTAGCAATGTGAAGGCGGCAAGACTGGGTTGGACTGCGTTCGAACGTGTAGACATGAGATGAACCGTAGGGAAAGCCAGAAAGCGACCGACCCAAAGCGGCATTAGTGGGGTAAATTGCCGGTGCACTTTTTGGCATTTTGCCGGTATCCGATGTTGGTCCACCCGAGCTCCTGATCCTGATGTTCTCATGGGTCAATTGGCAGCGAGACTCGGAGAATGGTTTGTCTGGAGAATAGATGGGGTCCAAGGCGAAGTAAGTAAGCAAAAGACTCAAAACACTCCACACTTGGCGTTGTCTTGTATTGGTGCATCTGTAGGTGTAGATTTACACTACGATTTCGACGCCTGACTTCCTCCACCGAACAAGAGGGACAGTAAGTCTAGCCCGGAGCCACGTGATCTTGGTCATGTGATGCACCCTAGTTGGTTAATGTTCCCGCCGGAGCTTTGGGTCCGGAGTCTGAGCCGTGACATTACGTTTTTGTGACGAACAAATGCCTACCATGAGAAGATCGGATTGTCGCTTCGTCTTTACCATCTCGCTCGCTGTTCGCGGAGCACACGATGGATGCTCACAGTTATGCAGTCTTCCCGTAGTCATCAGCAGATGATGAACCCTATATTCGTCTCTTGCAAAACACCTGTGACCAAACGTCGTCGTTATCGGGAAATTCGTCCCGCATTAGAGTCTGGCCATAGCCATGTAACAGCCTCTTGTCCCGACACGGGCCGAAGAGGTCACTCGACGACGACGTCTCGTCTGGGCAGCCCCTACGCCAGCCATCTTCAAATCCGGAACAGAAAAGACGCAATATGTCGGTAGCATGCGAAAGCTGCAGGAGGCGCAAAATCAAGGTACTTCGCTTCACTGCAGCTCCCGTCTTCGTAGCATCCACCTCGGACTGCCTGGACTGCCTTGGACTGACACACCTTGGTGCCAGTGCTCCGCTGGCCGACCCAAATGCTCCGGTTGCATGGAAAAGGGTCTCGGGTGCCGGTACGATGCCGATCCATCCGAGTCACGCGTCACGTCGCTGAAGAGAAAATACGACGAAATGGCCCGCCGCAACGACTCATTGGAAAGATTCTACGCCGTCATGCAATCCATGCCCGAGGGCCAAGCGTACCGGGTTCTCGAACGGATTCGATCTGGGGCGTCGGCCGACGATACCGTTCGCGAGATCGAAGCGGGATGTCTGCTGGTGGAACTTGCTTCGCGAGGAGATGAGACGGCACACGAGCAAGACCGTAGTACTGCTGAATGACTCGGGGCATGATTGAGCACAGGAGAGGCACAATACATGCTATTCAAGCCAACTCATGTCTTGGTGTCTTTGGCCATCTCCAACAAGACAAACTTTCCCCCCGACACTCAGGCAATACTTGTAGCTCGTCAAATCCCAGGCAGAGCGGGAGATCATCGTCCGTTGCTACCAGACCTGGCATGTTTCTCCGTAAAAGACTCCGGAACCTTCAATGGCATTACCTACTGATCCCTTACCGATGGCAACTTATTGCGCCATTGTGTTGACCCCGCATTTCATTCGACGAACTACCGCCTGGGCCAGTCCGGTGGCTGCAGATTAACCTACGCGTGGATCAGAGCGCGATGCAGTTGCCCAACACAGCTAATCCAGGATCAGGGTCTATTGCCATGTGGATCGGCGAGCCGGGGTTCCCGTCGTGGACCCCGTGTGACTGAGCGTCGTGTATGTACCTGGCTCGGACAAATAGATATATATACTCCTTGATGTTGCGAAATAACCTCTCTCCACATGCAGTCGGCATCCATCACCGGCTCCTAACTCTCAGCGCGTCTTGGCACTTATAATAAATCAGTCTGTAATTTCATCATGCTTCCTTCGGTCTCTTTTTTACTTGCGCTTTGCCCTCTTGTGGCCCTGGCTGCACCGTCCGCTCTCCCTTTCGAGCTCGAAAAGAGAGATATTACGTGTCTGAAAGTTGGAGCGACCGCAACAGCCAAATGGACGAATAGCACCGGACAGACATGCACCTTTACGGGTGTGGTAGGGAGCAACTACGGCGCCAATGGCGCGGGATCGGGAGAGTGAGCCGTTCCACCTCCCCCTTGCGGGTTCGTGTGCTGATACGAGTCATGGCTCCAGCTATTCGTGCAATGGTCGATGTGGTGCTGGCTGTACCGGAAGTTCTCTGGGCAACGCTTACACCCAAGACTGCTTCTCTCATGACATCTGCTCTTACTTCAACAACGCAAGTGGTGGTGCTAGGTAAGTATCATATCTCCTTTTACGAGACTTGTGTCCTTACTATACACAATCTTGAATGACGCAAATAATATTGACATCGAATGCAGTGACCCCAACTGCGGCGCCGCATTCATCGCTGCTGTCGATGACACTATCCTAGGTGTCATCGCGGGGTGTGGGCAAACCAACCCATCCAACGCCGTATCTAAGCCTTCGACGGAACCTATTTGCAGTTAATCGAGTAGCTTTCCTGAGGTGTAAGGGATAATTAACAGAGACTGTCACATGCTGCGGCGTGCGATCTTATCGAGAATCTCATTGCTCTGCCTACGGAGCTAGAATAAAAGCCCTATGTAACATGAATGGTGGAAGCATTATTAGGGAAGCTGAAGCAGAAAAAAGAAAGCCCAAAACAAAAACCATTGAGAGAATAACGCATGTTTTGCGGAAGAGAATGGGGGCAGGATGAAGCCAGGACAGCGGTCACAGAATGGCATCCGCCCAAGCAAGGTCGTGGGCGTGGAGAACAAGAGGTGGTTAACGAGAAGACCTCGTCCTCTAAATCCAAGCCACAGTGCCGGTGCGGTGTCTCGCGATGATTGAACCCCAATCATCTCCGTCGTAGCCAATCCATCCAATCAGTCCCAGCACACTTCAAAATTCCTCCTCGCCCTCGGAACTGTCAGCACTCGGACCATCGTGGAATTCGTCATCTTGGGATCCATGGTAATCAGAAGGAGCCAATGCATCTGCAGCATCTGCATCCTCGCCGGCACCGTCGGTAGAAGATTCCGAGTTGCCATATGAGCCGGTCTCCATGCCAGGTGCGTTGGCCATTCCATTTCCCGAGAGAGCAGCCGGTTCCATATTCAGCTGGGAGCCAAAAGCGCTGGCAACGACCCGGTTCCAGATATTCTCGCCAACGTCGCCATAATCCACGAGCGCGGAGTCGCCAATGTAACCGAGAGCATCGGGCCGAGTCTGGAATGAAGTCTGGTTCGAGTAACTGGAGGGAGGATGCCAGCGTGGAAAGTTGCCAGGGAGCATGGGTACCGTGTAATTGGAGTCCACCAAACCGAACGGATGGTTTGCGTTGTTCATGAATGGCATTGCGTGCTGGGACGCGTAGCTAGCATATACTTGAGAAGGGATTCCACCAGCAGGACCCAATGGAGCCTCGTTGAAACCTCTGTAGGCGGCGTTGCGGGAGCCTGGGAGCTGGCTGTTGCCGAGAGCGAAGTCGTTAATCGAGCCATAGTTGCCGGACATGAAACCCGGGTCCGTGAACTGCTGAGGCAGGTATTCAGGGCCTTGCGAACCCATGTTTCCAATCTGAGTAGTCGGGTTGCTACTAAAGGTTGTCTGGTTTTGGGAACCGTAAGCGATATCAGGGTGCATCTGCCCATAGTTCTGGAATAAGACGTCAGAAATTTTCTTGAAGACATGCAAGAGCATCATACCTGTCCCATGCTGCTGATGGCATATCCTGCGAGTGGGTTCATGGCCATGCTCTGGGGCTGGTTCACACGCGGAAGTGTGGTAGAATAGGCGTTCTGGCTTTGAGGCTGCTGGAGACCCTCATCCAGGCCGTACTCATCATCCTCATCATCATCCTCATCATCCTCATCCTCATCCTCGTCCTCATCTGCAGCTGGTTGGTTGACAGTCGATTGATTGGCAGCCACTTGGGTTCCGGCCGAGCGCTCCCGCAGGCTTGGCGTGTCCTTCAACGCATCCCACACAGCTCTGAGCTTCTGGAGGCGTACCGCAATGTGCGGCTTTCCTTGCCAGTCGGCGGGGATGACCATATTGCGACGGATCAAGGCCGAGTACCACAGATGGTTGTGGCAGCGGTCTCCGAGACTGATGATGGCTTCGTCGCTCGGCATGGCCTCGTGGACTTCAGTAAGATCATTGAGAATCGCGGCCTGGGTTCTTCTCGTGAGGTCGCCGCCATCGGGGCGAAGAGTGTTGATTCTCTGGAGAATCCGAAGTTGGCTCAACAAGGCCTGGTTGTTGGGAGGGCAGCGTGTAATCGCCTCCTCGATGCCCTCTGTCAAATCATCAGCAGCAACATAGTAACCCTTTCTGCAATTACAGCATTCCCGGCCCTTTCTGCTCCTCTTCTTCTTTTTGACGGCCTTGTTACCGCCAACATTGCCGCCGTTGATGCCGCTGTTGATGCCGCCATTGTTGTCGTTCTTTCGACCCTCGTTGTTTTGATCCTGGTCCATCTTTCTTTTTTCTCTTGACCCTCTTATTTCAGTAAGCAGTGTAAGCCGTCAGGAGCTGGTAAAGGGAGATGAAGGAAACGACAAAGGCCCCAACTCTGGATGTTGGTGGTGATGGAGGTGGAGGGTGGTGAGTTTGTGTGACCAGAAATTCTGAATCTTTGATTTGGTGTCATGAAAGTTTTGGGCAATAAACAGGCTTGCCAAGGAAGGTGATAAAACAATTCATTGGATCAACCGGGCTGGTTCCCTTGATAACTAAGCATCTACTCGAACATGTGAGTTGGAAGGAGGCGGATGACCGGGTCATGACAATTACAGCCCGTCTCATGTTATCAAGAAAGCTCGCACCCACAAGAAATGAATTGGCAAATGTGGAAGCCCCTTTATGCGTGATGCAGTTCCGTTTGAATCCCACTACGTGCTCGAGTACCTTCCAGCATCCGCTCGAAGGATCATCTTGAACAGCTCGATGTCGTTTCTTGCGTCCGTAGTGCTAGTCTTTGGGGTTTTCCCGTTGACCACGCAGTCATAAAACTCCAAAAACTCGTTCGTGTATGGATCTTGATATGTCTTCCTGACCGTCCGCTCCTGAAACCCGTCCTCGCCCACCAACTCCCGGATAGTCATCGTGACAGGTAATCCCTTGACATAAGGGGTGTCGAAATTGACGCGGACAATCTTGTTTGGAGAGTAGACTTCAATGTGGGCGTCGAACTGAGGAACGTTGTTGATCCCGGATTCGTACGTGACGGGAAAGTCATCGTAATTGAAGAGGACACTGAAAATTCCCGGGAACGTCAAAACTGCTCCGGCGACGCTCTTGGGCATGCCGATGATTTCTCTCATGGCGGATAGATCGTGAGTTCCGAGTCTACAGTGTTGTCAATAAATGTTCCTAGATCCCTCGGGGCATATTGACGCACCCCCCAAGAAGCCTCAACATCCTCTGTGACTCGGAGGTGACAGGTACCCCAAACTCCCTCCCGATGGCCTGCTCTGATATGTCTTCCTCACGCTTCAGTCGCTCTTGAGTGTCAACATCACTATAGTCGCTAAATTTGATAGGAAATGTGCCGGATTGGCCCACGAAGGTTGAGTTGGGTCCAATGATGTCTCGGACCCGGGCATACTGAATCTTGTCCATACCGCCGACTTCCTCTACCGCGTCCGTGAAGACCGTAGCGAACCGACGCATGGTACCGACCATGACTTTACCTTTCGAATTTCTTTCTGCCTCAATGAGAAGATCGATATCGCGGAAGCAAACTGACACAGGCTTCTCTATGAGAACATATTTGTCGCTTTTGAGCGCCAATATGCCATGGTCGACATGGTATGCGTCCGTGTTGGCGATTACCACAACGTCGACGTCGGGCGACGAGCACAGCTCTGCCGCGTCTGTGGTCGTCTTTGGCGTCCCTCCTTGAACCTTCCTGGCACAGTGTGCAAGGGATTGGTGGGATATGTCGCATAGATACGTCGTCTGGAAGCGCTCATAGAGGAAGTTGAGGTTGGAGATGTGGTTGACTTGAGTGATCTCGCCACAGCCAATGATGCCCACTCTCAAAACACGCGTTTTCTGTTGGGAGGCCATGTTTGCGACTAATTCAATTGAATATGCCAAACAGAGGCTGATGTTTGTTTCAATCCGGCGGAGTATGCTCTTTGACGTCAGATGAACTTGGTATCTTATGAATGCCTGTTTTCTCGAAGTCTAGATAGATCCCAATGCTGCTGCCAAGAAAACATTTGATAGGAATTCCGATATTTTGTCGAGCCAGTTGTGGGATTGGGGCTCCAGCAAAGCCGTCACATTGGGTCGATTTGTTGGGCCTCAAGTGACATGTGCCACGTCAAGATGGATCAGAGGCCACTTTTGCTGAGTTCCCTTCATCCAATGATGTTTCGATGGTCGTTGTGGCACTTCAGCTGGCCGACACTAGCTACTACCAACCCTCTCTGGCCAGCAGTAAATTCGACCGCAATGCTTACTATAGATACATTGGATTAGGTAGCCGAGGATTGGGCTGGGAAGCTATTATCGCTGCTGTTATCTAATATGCATCAACCCTTGGTACCCGAGTTTCGACCCCGCGTTTTCCCCATGGGGTTGGAACGGGAATTCATGCTCAGTGCTATGGAAGCAACCGAGTTACCTAGTCGGACTCCGGGAAGTGCCAGGAGCTCTTACTGTTATTTATTCAGCTGAAATTTATCAAAGCAGATAAATGACAAATCTCTCCTTTTCCAACGTAGTCCTCGTAGTCATTGGTCTGGCCTTCCAACGGGCATAAATCATGGTTGCATCATACGGTCAACTTGACACGGATTCCGCCCAATCGCGATCAAAGCCATACCATGGAAGTACTTTATGGTTTCCTGCTACATTAATGGTGTACAGTTTGGCCTGATATGGTTTTTATTTCGGAAATACGATCGACGGAATTCGCGCATCCACTGGGCGGAGTGGGGCCAAACGGAGGACCGAAGGCACGTACGGCCATTTGACCCACTGCTTTTACCTCCCACTACAGAAGACACGATAGTAGAATCAGAGCCGAGAGAACAATTGCCAAAGACGAACGATCGATAGACGATGGTACATTTGCGACCTCCTACAACAATAGAAGGTCATCAAGTATTTAAACAGTGGCGGAATAGTGTCGTCGGTATAGACAGTTCTAGTGAGTTTTCACAAGGCGTTACGATTAATGATTGAAGTGCTGAGGGGTGTTATATTGATGACTCGACGTTGTTAGGATTGGCTGAGACTGCGAGCTCTAATGTGAGTTGGGGGATGTTTCTTTCTGAAATGCGCCGGAACATTTCCATTTGGATGCTGATGACAGGAACCAATGATTAATAATCCTATATTTCTATCAAGCCTATGACGAGCAGCCCATTGGAACCCCAATAGCCCGAGGCCAGGTCCGAGATATATCCCTTCAGATTGAATTTGACTCGCTCGTAATCATGCTATGCAGCAGTTGAGCATCCATCTAGCATTCTCAAGCTGAAACTATCACGACTTAAATAGAGCATGATTTGACTCACATTGACGAGCAGCATCTATCTGGCTTGTGGTTGCATACCAGATAAGTAGCCAACTGATAAGCGGCCAACTCCGATGCGGGGCCGGACTCCAGTCCCCCCCCCGGCCTTTGTGCTGGGTGCAAATTATCGTCTTGGATTGGTCGCCTCGCATCCTTCATGCCCATGGTTAATCGCCTGAAATTGGTCTATTTGCAGGTAGCAAGTAGGAATTTAAACTTCTTCCGAGGCCACCCTTTTTGTCTCTCATGAGTCAAGTCGGCTCAATCATACAAGCATCTACACCCCACACAAACTTTCAAGCTAGCCGGTCATGGGCACCTCAACCGTTGTAACAGGACCGGAAACTACCTTACTCCGCTTGGCGTCGGGAAATGGACCGGTCAAACGCCGGATCTTGTGTACTCCGCTCCGCGACGCACTTTCTACTGAGATTCCCGTCATTGATATCTCGCTCGCATTCAGTATGAGTCTTGCCGACCGTATGTCTGTTGCGCAGCAGGTTCGCAACGCCTCAACAACCTGCGGTTTTTTCTACCTGACCAACCATGGTATCGACCCGTGCATCACCGACTCAGCATTTGCAGCATGCTTAGACTACTTTCGTCAGGATAATGATACCAAGATGCGTTCGTGGGTGGGAAAGAGTCGTTACTTTAATGGCTACAAACCACCAGGATCCCTGCGCATCAACAAATCAGAAAGCGTTGACATCCGCGAATCGTTCAGCTGGTCTTACGATCCCCGCTATGACCCTGATGTGAAGAATGTGCGGGCCATTCCTGACGAGGCTAGGCAATTCCTGCGAATGGAGGACTTTCACTGGGACGGGACCTCCAGCACGCCATTTTTCAAGGCAGCCATCATTCGGTACTGGCAATCCTGTATGAAGCTTGCACGCGTGTTGGTTCGCACTTTTGCGCTGTCTCTCGAGCTGCCGGAGGATTATTTCGATGCAAAGTTTGCGTATCCTGACGCAGCCCTGGCGCTGAACTACTACCCACCTTTGCCCCAGACTTTAGGCAATGTCGACTCAGTTTCAAACCCCCAGGTCTCCATAGGCTCGCACACAGACTTCCAGCTCTTCACCATACTGTGGCAAGACGCTGCTGGGGGGTTACAGGTACTGAATCACGAGGGCCAGTGGATCAGGGCTGCGCCGATACCAGGGACACTCGTCGTCAACATTGCCGATTACATGCAGCGGATAACCAACGACTTATACGTCAGTACTGTTCACCGAGCCCAGAACTTCAGTGGTAGCGAACGCATCAGTATGCCCTTCTTCTTTGGGTTCGGTTTACATGAAAGCTGTGGAGTTATTGACACTTGTGTAAAACATGGAGATGTGCCTAAATACAGCGAGATTGCTTGCGAGCAGTGGGTGCAAAGAAGAGCGCAATCAATGCATACGGTAGAATCAGATGATGAGAATGAGGGATAACCTGCAGTTTTCTACTCTATTACTCTGGATGCGCACAGCAGGGGATTTGGAGTTCTGCTGGCTGGTTCACACGATACAGACAGCCCAAATGCTTTCATTGACGACAAAGTACAGTCCGAAAATGAAGGCTTTCAAGACTTTGGAATAAAAAACATTCAGTGATAAGAATAATAGGCCGTCTCAGTCGAGATTCCAGATCTTTAGGATAGCCCGTGTAGAAACATGCATACATTCACTATAGCCAAACGAGGTTTGTGAAGTTTCCACCATATAGCATCCTGTTTGGAAAGTATTTCCGACGCCTTTTGAGCCAGTCTTTTGCAAAGATACAAATAAACATATGTTTCGTTGTCTATCATTAGTAAGTTTCGATGAAGTGATTGGAATATTATAGACATCGATTGTCATTGGTCCAATGGAGCAAGACGCCATTGAGTATTATGAAATCGAACCACAGGGACTAATCTCTTAGAAGGCACGCCAAGCTTTTCTTATGGCGACTGTGCAGTTCGTCAGCCCAGTTAGGGACTTAGGCTTGCTGGCTAAATAGTGCTGGTTATTTGCAAATCCAGCGTGAGTTTATTACGTTGTGGTATCTTATTGAATACCTATAGTCAATACGATACGTGTATCCTATTGAAGGCATCTGCCCTTTGTATCTCTCGTGAATAGGTTGGGGTCCAGGTTGCTGAATGTAACACACCAAACATCCGGAGCCTATACATTCTGGCTGCTCAAACAATAGGGAAATATGTTTCAGTATGTCGAAGAAATGGAAAAGTAAACTTCAGCTTTCATGTGTATGCTATATAGTGGCGCTCGTTGAGAATTCTTTTGACACAAAGCATCGCATATAATGATAGACGCATCGCTATTGATATAGGACTTGGCTATTCTCCCGTCTACGATTATAAGACATGATACGGAGAAGCCATAACGGTCTGGAATAACGAAGAAACAAGTTACATTTCTCTTCCATTTCTGCAAAGCATCGTGTTATTTAGGATGTGTCCTTGGAACCAAGTAAGCTGAAGGGAGCGGTAGATCAAGTAAATTGATCCAAAACTGTGTCATTGAATTTCGAAGGTAGCCTAGATGCCCCTTCTTCCACAGCGACTACTCTGATGAGGTGCTGGAAAGAGATGGCTTTTATATGCTAAATGCTGATGACAGCCAATATATGTTTTACAAGGATATCCTTAAGTGAAAAGCTCTACTGATGTGTATTTCAGTTAGATCTGTAGTAAAACTGGACATTGTATTGTTGGATGACACACGGGTCGCTTCCTACCCGGGTGTTGGACTGACCAAAAAACAACAAGCTACTCAGGTTCAAGTGCGTACGGAGAGTTCATGCCCTCGGCATCCTACAGCGTGCTAGTCAGTTTGAAATTTCTTGGACTAGCCGTATCAAGCACTTGCCAATACTCCTTGGTGGTGGTCTGGTAGATGAGCATGGCTGTCTGTCGAAAAAGAAAAAAGTCAACGCGTAAATGTTTCCATAGCATGCGTTCCGGGACCTACCCTGTGTTCATTATCCCCACGTACCACTGTGAAACCGTTGCTGACGGCAAACCACGACTTTCTCGGGTCTAAGTTCAAAAACGCAATGCACAGCTTTGAATTCACTGGGACGCATACAATGTTGACATTTCGAGCACAGGGATGGATGATTATTGGTGTGACTCCAAAAAGGTTTGGCATGAAACAACCTGGAGGCTCGCTGGAGAATCTGAACTCCCAATTTGACAGCGGGCGACAAACATGATTCTGCAAGACATGAGTCGAGATAGCATTAAGCTTTTGAATTGTCGGCGTCGAAAGTTTTATCAGGCCTCCAGGGGGGCTTAGAGAGGGATATTTCTCATCGTCTAGTGGCACTGACTTATTCTCTGCTCATCTCACGTTCACGACGGCTTAGCGCAATTGCCTGTTCGAAGAGGCATCATACTATCATGTCAGCCGCGGCTCAACGCGGGAGTCTGGTACCTCTACCAGAATATCATCGCCATGGCCTCGTAATATTAACCGCATTTTCTTTCGTCTCTGCAGCGGCTACCTCTCTGCTATGGCTCTTCATTACGTACAAATTTCTGTCATACAAAAGACAAAAATGGGACCATACGAGACGAGAAAACAAACAGAAAAGGGACTTTTCCACGAATGATCTTCGAGACCTTACTCTTGGGCTAGATTCTCCATGTGTAGGGAGCACCCGATTTCCCCGCCTCACAGAGCTTGATAGGTTGGCCAATTCGCCAGAGTGCATCAATGAGGCCCGGAGTAAAAGACAAGAGGAACAAGAAGAGGAGAGGGAGGAAGAAGAGGTTCGCAGTCCGTTCCCAATCCTCGTCTATAATCTTCTCTTGGCAGATATGATGGAGGCTGTCGCCTATGCTCTCAGTATCTACTGGGTAGCGAACGATGGGATAATCGCACCTTCGCCTGTTTGCTGGGCCCAGGGATGGTTGGGCTCGACAAGCAACCTAGCCGCCAGTCTGTTCCTCACAGCAATATCTGTGAGCACTTTCCTGACTGTGGGCCTGGGATACAAGCTAGCGCCATGGGCTGTGTATGCCACCGTTATTGTTCTCTGGGTATTCGATTTTGGCATCAATGGTGCTGGAGTGATAGCCTCTGTGCTTCACCCGGGGGCCCCTAATGAGTCTTTTTACATGAGGGCTAATGTCTGGTGAGCCTTACTCTATGTGGTGCGGATCAATGGAATTACTAAACTGATTTCAATCCAATCCAGGTGCTGGATTTCGACAGCCTACGATTCCTGGCGCTTGTGGGCTCATTACTTCTGGATTATGGTTTCGATTGCCATAACAGTCACTCTTTATTCTTTTGTCTTCTTTACACTATGGCGTCAAAAGCGAAATTGTCGTCATCTACCGGACAGAAGACAGACCAATGGCGGAGGTTTCGGTAGTCGACAGTCAGAGTCCCCACGGCTGACCGGATACCACCCTGCGTTTCTCGTCTATCCCTTTGTATACATCGGGTGCAGCGTGCCTCTCGTGGTTGGTCGTGTTACATCTCTGCTAGGCATCGATCTCGGCATTTACTATTTCGCTTTCGCGGGCTCAATTCTGGCCGCCAATGGACTTTTCAACTCTATCTTGTGGGTATCGACCATACTCTTCAGCGCTCCGCAAGACGTCTGCGACACGGGATTGGATAGGTTCGCTTTCATTAAAACACCTATACGAGATTATGGTCACACAGTGGTTATCAGTGGACCTTCCAGCACAAGAGTTCCACTAGCGCAGATCTCCCCTGGTAATAACAAGAAGGATTGGTGGTGGTGGAGGCATGGGGGTATGAGGGGTTGGGGAAGGTCTTATGCGAGCACACATGACATGCGTATAGTACACGCGGTTGAAATGCATAGTAAGCCGCCACCAAGGCCTGTTGAGGGACCTGTCATCCAGATGGAAGTTGTAACGACGGTTACGAGTGAGGAGATAGAGCCTGGTATGCCGACCAAGGCTAAGCAATGAAATGGCAATGGCATTGCCCTATATCTGAAGACTCACTGAGGGAGCTCCGCCAAGCATTGAGCCTGGAAACCAGAAAGTGTCATTTAGACTAGCAGACATAATGATTTTACCTCAAGGCAATCACAATAAAGCTTACCAGTATCTTCATTGCTTAGATAGTATCCTATAATGCGCTTAAGAATCGTTCTACAGGTGAATGTGTTGCGATGTTGACCATCGCCTAGATATCGGCGGTATAGATTAATGCCGAAGACAGCTAGAACAACTGCGGCCGTATTTACCGTGGATCTACCGGATCTACTACCCAGGGGTGTTAGTCATCGTTTCGCTACGCTAAAAACCCCTTACTCACGCAAGGGGTAAAAAAATAGGGTTACTACATAGAAAAAGAGGTTACTAATCCCTATTACAAATAGTATTACTTTTATATAGGTTATATTTAAAGTTAACCTTCTATTTCTTGAAGTAATTATAACTAAAGCGCTATATAATAACAAGAGTTATATTAATTAATAGCCTTAATTTAGGGCTATGTAGTAATAGCCTTTTTTCTTAATTTATATAATATATATAAATTTATATTACTACTATAATATAGCTATTACTTTTATTGTTATTTACTATATGTTACTACTTTCTTTTAACTTATATAAATAGAGATATAAATAAGTAATTTTATAGTATAATTCTTATAACCCTTTAGGTATTTATTTTATTTTTTATACTATAATACCTTAACTTATAGTATAAAGGGCCTTATAATATTAAAAGGCCTAGTGTTAGTATTATTAGTAGTAATAGCCTTACTACTACTTTATTACCCTTATTAAAACTACTAGATATACTAATAGATTCTTTACTTAAAATAACTAAATTAAAGTTTTTATTTATAGAATTATTAATATCTTTAAATACCTCTAGGTTAAAATATAGCCTAGCGACCTCTATAGCTATGTCTACTAATACTTAATTAATGTTACCTTAACTAAAAAGCCTTACTATATACTTAAATTAGTTAAGTATATATTATAATATATATATATATATATATATAGTAAGCTACTTATTATAATAAGTTACCTACCTTTCTAACTTTTTACCTCTTTAACGTTTATACTAATATTCCTTTATATATAAACATAAAGTCCTCTTTAATTAGAAACTATATTATCCTTACCCTCTAAGCTATTAAAAAAGACCTAAAATATTTATATAAAAAGTAGTTACTATATTTAAGGTCTTTAGAATAATATTATATAACTAATATATAAGACGTGTTATATAAGACAAGATGTATTTAAAATTAAAAAAGATAATAGAAGTTAAAAAAAGAGTAATTCTTAAGAAGGTTATTAACCTAATTATTTAAGGGTTTTCTTTATAATAAGAGGATATATAAGATATAGCTAACTAACTTTTAGGTAAATATAATATAATATATATTAAACCTTAATAAGGAAAGAACTTTATATAATAATAGCCTTAATTAAAAATATAATTTTAATATTAAACTAACTATTAGAGGGCTATAGCTAAGGATTTTATAATTATATAAGGCTAGTTTATACTTATTTATAATATAATTATTAGGTATAAGATATAATATTATAGTATTTATAATTTTAATAACACTAGGCTCTTAATAAGAATATTATTATATATAGAGGTTACTATAACTAATATAGCCTTTCTAGCAGCTATTATAGTTCTAATAGGATAAAGCTAGGCTATAGTAGTGTTATAAAGTAATATAGTATAAAAGTAAAGCGTAATAGTAAAGCAGTAAAGTAAGATAAATAATAATAAGGAGCTAAATAAATAATATAAGATAAAATAAGTAATAGATAGTAGGTATATTTATAGTTAACCCTCTTTTTATAAAAAGTTACTTACTAAAAGGATATATACCTAGGGTATATATAATATATTATATATATATTAACTATTTAGTCCTTACTATTTATCTATCTCCTAACTATAGGTACTTACTACCTTATCTTATAATAAGTGCCCCCCCTTAAAAAGACCTTATCTTTTTTTACTAAATACTTTAAAAGCTAATTAAGAAAGTAATATTTACTATTTCTTATCTCCCTTATATTATAGCCTTATATCTTAAGGTTATTTATTTATATTTTAACCTTACTATTTACTTATTATTATTATTACTTAGGTTAATAGCCCTAGCCTAGCGCTTTTTTCCTTATAGGCCTATAAGGCTACTAAGTTCTTTTACTAAGTAAGGTTACTTATTACTTCTACTGCCTAAGCTTATATTACTAATAACGCTTTAGGTAGTAGTATATATCTTCTACTAAAGGTAGAGTGTCTTTATAAGTAAGGTAACTTAATTTTATAACTATTTAAAATCCTTAGCCTTAAACTTATTAAAGGCGTTAAGATTATTTACCTTATAGTTAAGGTTCTTAACCTTATTTTTAATAGTATTAATATATTTCTTAATATTATTAATTTAGGCTGCTTACTAGTAAATCTTCTTAGCTTTAGTATATAAGCTTTTTCTAATAGCCTTATTAATATTACCTTATATAAAGATATTACTACTTTCTATAGTTAGATTAGGTAATACTTCCTTATATAGGTTTTTATAAGTAATAGTATAAAAAGTTACTTAGTTATATAGTTTTTTATATATTAATAGGCTATTAATTAATTACTTACTAAAGTATATAGTTAATATTAAAAGCGCGTAGGGTATAAGGACTCTTGCGGTGTAGTGACTATATAGAACACTATAACTACTAAAAGTAACATAAGATTCCTTACTAATTAGTGTATAAATCGTCTTAATTAGTCTAGAATTAACATTAATTATAAGTATTAAACTATAGGATTAAGTATAATTATACCCTAATTAGGTAGGTAATTACTCCTAATTATCTTATATTATTATAATTAAAGGTAAATTATAAAGAGGCTTTAGTTTAATTAAAAGATAGGTATAAGTATAAAAGATAAATTATATATATTTATTTTTAAATCTATTAACACTAGCTTATATCTTTATACTTAATTAGGATTAAGATCTTTTAATTAGCCTATATACTATCTTACTTTAGGCTAATTACCTTACCTTACTTTAATTATCCTCTAATTTCTTTTTTATAAGTCCTCTTAGGGAGAAATTATCCTTAAGATTAGCCCTTATATAACTACCTTTATAGTAAATTAGCGTTAGCCTTTCTTCTTATTCTTTTTCTTAGCCTCTACCTCTTACTTATATACCTCCTTTATATAATCTTATTAAAGCCTTATGTCCTTATAATTCTAGCTCTCTTATATCTAGCTTAATAATAGTAGTACTTAAAGTATATATATAGAGGTTATATAAGCTAACTTATTAATTAGGTTATTATATTAATTAACTTACTTTTTCTATATATACTTATTAATTACTAGTTTTTTAGAAAGCTTATTTTAGTAGTATAGTAGTTAATAATAGTAATTTATAACTTCTTATTAAAGTTACTTATTAGCTTCTTACTAATTAAGCTCTAACTTACTAAGTATTAACTTATAATTTATTTATCTTAACTATAAGTTTAAATCTTAAGAAGTTATTTTTTTTAGCTATAAGTCTTTATATTACCTAATTAATAAGGGTTTCTAGAGTAGTTAAGCCTAAGTTAGAGGGTTTTTTTTTATAACGTCTTTAATCTTAAGTAAAACCTAAGCTAAAGGCCTAGTTCTAGTAACTAATAATAAAGTTAGCCTAAATAAGATAAGAAGTAAATATAGGTTTATAAGTAAATATATAAGTCTTTTTAATTATAGCGTTATATTAAGCGTCTAGAGGATTAGTTATAAGGTAACTAGTAATATTTAACTAAGAGGTATAGGACTTATAGGAGTATACTTAGAATTAGACCCTCTTTTAATAGTGTTTATTACTAAGGGAGACTAATTAGATAGGTTTTAAGGTATAAAGCCTAGTAATAATCTAAGTAGTAAGCGTTATCTCTAGCTAGTAACTAATTAATACTAATATAAGCTAAAGATCTAAGGATTAGTTAGTATACTTTATTTAATTAATACTATAAAGCCTAGCCTTAAACATAGCTTCTTAATAATTATATAGTCTAATTTAGTGCCTACTAATACCTTTATATAAATATTTCTATATTAACTATAGATGTCCTTAAGATATATTCCTAAAGTATTACGTATAGTATTATTAACTTAGTTACCTTTATAGTAAAATTTATAGCTAATTTACTAAATCTAGTATATATATATTTAATTACTTAGTGTACTTTTTATTCTATTACTTTAGAAGATAAGGTTTTTAGTTAGGTATAATTTACTATACTAGACTACTATTTAGAACTATTTTAAAACGTAAAGACTATACTTTTATAA